ACCTTAGACTTTGCCTGTCCCAGCCCTGGAATCAGTCCTTTCTTCAAGGAGCCCTGGTTCCTTGTAATGAGTAGTGATATTTAGAAATCAAGATATGGGCTCTGGGGGTCTTCATTACTTTAGGTGTCATGGCTTCTAGGCATGCATATATATATATTTAAATCCTCTGCCAATTAATTATATATATATATTCTAAATCATGGGTTCCCACTGACACCCTTATTCCAATCTAATATTTTTATCTTATTTCATTAATTTTCTATTGTAAGTCTTGCCAAAAATACAAGAGAGCTGTATCCTCTGTGTCATATGCTCATCATACTGAACTACTTGAAGAACTTAATGTCTTTCTTTAGATCTGGAAAAGTCTCAACTTTGTGACTTCTTCAGGTATCACCTTCCCTTCATTTTCTCTATTCTCTATATTTGGGACTCTTACTAGGCTAATGTTAAAAGTTCTGGATCTCTCCTCCATTTATCTTTCTTTTATATTTCCTATCCCTTTATTTCTCTCCCTATTACATTATGGGAGAATGTCTTTTGTTTTGTTTTGTTTTTTCAATTCACAAATTAGTTATTTTGAGTTTGTTTCTGCTTTATTAAAATTTTTTTTTATTGCAACAGCTTTTTATATCCAAGATCTCTGTGAGTTCTCTTTCATAATTTCCTGTTCCTGTTTTAAGGATGTAAATACTTTTTCAAAAAAATCCTCTCTCAATTAATTATACATATTTTAAGATTCTGTTTTGATTGCTCTATTAAGTCTGGTTTTGAGATTTATTATATAAGTCTTTCCATTTGATGAATTTTATTTCATGGGATGGATGCTTCTCAAATGTTTCCTAATTCCTAATTTGCCTAGTTTTGCAGTTTAGATTCCCTGTTGGATGGATGCCTTTCTTCTCCTCTGCCCATCTGCTCCCAGGGGCAGGTGTGGGAATGGGAACACACCCAGGATCTGCGGGCCCAGCTGCTCTCACAAGGGTACTACCGCTAATCTCCACTGGGTTGCCCTTGGGCCTTCTCCTCCCCGCCCCCATTGTTGAGCAGTGAGCATTCTGGATGTTGCCACAGTGCGTAGCGGATGTCCCGCGTGTGCTCAGAACTTCAGCTTTCCTCTTTGGTCCTGTGCCATCAGCCTTCAGCTTTCAGCCTCTCAGTCTGCGGGCTAATGAGAACCTCTCCTCTGATTTGTGTTGCTGTGGATGCACATCCTCCTCCTTTCCTTTCTTCCTTCCTCCCATTCCTCCCTTTCTTCCTTTCTTTGCCCCATTACCTCTCCCCCTCTTTATCATTTTGTGATTCAGCAGGGAGAAGAGATTGCAGTGCGGGCTTAGCTTGTCATCTTGAAACTGGAAGTGAATGTGTTCTCTTTTTTTCTTAAGTCCAGGCTATATTCTCTGATTGGAATATCCGTCTGCACACCACCCATCAAACCTGCACAGCAAATTCATGTCTGTCTTTTAAATCAGCACCTGTTCTATGAGCCCTCCCTAATCCTCCAGGCAGAGTTAATTTTCTTCCACTCCCTTGGTGATTTTGTTCATCTTTATTTTAGTACTTACCTTATAATTGTTTGCAGTCATGTCTGTCTTGGCTCAGTTGACTATGAACTTCTTTTATCGTTGTGTCCTTATATCCTTAGTATTTGATGTGGTAGGTGCTTAATAAATATTTGTTTATGAATGCTTGAATGATTTTATGAATGATAATATATAAGTGAAAAAAATAAATTTCACTGACAAGATGAAATTAATTTACCATATAAGATTTGATTCCAAAGTAATTGAAAAGCTAAATCTCTCTTCAACTCAAGGACATTTATTGTCTCCCCTTTCCTTGCCAATCCCTTGTAACTCCTAGTTACTCCTCTCTTGATCTCTTTTTAGAATTAGTTCAGCAAAGACAGTCAGTCTCACCTCTTTCTTTTGTTATACATGTTTTGACAGGCTTGACTGGGTATATCTTCCTCCTCATTATTGGCTCTGAATAAATTTTTGGCTTTTACTAAATACTGAATTTATCTTTAAAGTAGAAAAAATTTTTTCAAATATGTCTAGAGTATATTCATAGCCTTCAGCTTCTGAAAATTGGCATCCTGTCTTCTTTTCTATTTGAAGCTCTGATATAGCCTAGTACTCTGCTAGGCTAGAACTCTTACAAGGATTTCTAAAAGTTTCAAGCATTGGCAACACTGTAAGAATCACTCTACAGGTTCTCAAAACCACTGCTTTGAAAGATGCCATTTGCCCTGGCCGGATTGGCTCAGCGGTTAGAGTGTTGGCCTGAGGTCTGGAGAGGCCCGGGTGATTCAGTTCCCGCTAAGGGCATGTACCTCGGTTGCAGTTTGTCCCTGGCCCTGGTTGGGTCATGCGGGTGGCAGCCACTTGATATGTCCCTTTCACGTCAATGTTTCTTTCTCTGTCTCTTCCTCTCTCTCCCTCCCGCTCTATCTGAACAAAAATGAAAGAGTGTCCTTGGGTGAGGATAAAAAAAAGAAAAGAAAGAGATGCCGTTTATTTGAATTCCAGTTACACTGTGTTTGCTGTAAAATAATAGACTTTTAGTGATAACTAAAAAGACAACATATAGGAAAAGGCTACAGTGTTAACTAGAAGCCTGATTCACAAAGTCCCTTGGACCCTGAGGCAGGCTCACAGGAGTGAGTCTTGAAGAAGGCACCGTAGTTTAAGACTATGTTGGGTCCTCTCTTTGTTCCTCAAGGCATGCTCAATGAAGGGTTATTTATTCTATAAATGTGTTGTTGATGCTCCTACCTAACACATAATGATTAGGCCTGTTTCCTTTTCTGTGTGTGTAAACCCAAAGAAACATCTTTTGTGACATGGAAGCTACATAAGATTAGATATAAGGAGGAACTTTATTAAAATGCTTATGACTACTCACAGTGGGGAACCCCACACAGCTAAATTAAACCTGAAATTAGTTATATTTGCCTTCAAATCAAGATTATTTGTTAAAAATTATTTTAAATTGTGTTGACTTAATTTTTCAATTGAAACACTACTGACTTTGCTTTACTTTTGTATAGAAATAAAGTTGAATGCCTACCCACCCCATTCCATCAACATAAGGAGAGCTTTGTAGACATAAGAAACCTTCTGTCTTCAGAACATTAAAGGCACTGTTTATAAGTGCTTTGTAAAGAATGTAAAATACCAATGTGCTGTTTTCAAAATAGGCTAAATTCTGTTTGAAAACTTCATCTTCTCCAAACTTACATTGATCTTGGAAATAGTAAATGCAGAAACTCAGAGTAGAATTTATAACATAATTTAGAGAATCCAAGCTTAACTGTTAAATCACCATTTGTTTGGAATCTATAATTCTTTACTCAAATTTTTAGCTTATTTTTTGATGTCCCTTTATTTATCAGGTGGAACAAGTAACAGTTTTTATTGTTTCTCCATCTCTAACACAAGGAGACTTGGACAAGTCACTTAACCTCTCTGAGCCTCAGTTTCCTCCTCTATAAAATGAGGACGTGAGTATGTACATGGTTTCTGAGCTCTAAAATGCTTTCAATGAAGCTGAAATTAAGTCATGTGCACACACGTGTAGTTACATATACAGTATGCACATGCACTAAATACCCTTAGTGTACACTCTATTTGTACATATGTGTGCGCCATCAATATGCAGCTCTGTGGTAGAACATCTGTGGTGTGTGCTGTGGGGAGTTTTCCAAATGCCCTTTCAAGGCCACTGATCTTACCTCCTCTGATACTGGGCTTGTGGGCTGCTCGTGCCCCATAGTTGAGTCCCTTTTCAGGCATGACCCTCCACTGACAGAAGCTGCTTGCCCGAGGTTGTGCCCCCTTTACTCAGCGGTCCTCTCTAATTTCTAGCGGGTTTATGAATACAAAGGTCCAGCTGCCTTTCTCCAAATGGGGAACCATTCACAGGATCAACTGGGTCTCTGTTGCAACTATATTGCTGTTTGAATTTTTCCTCCGCCTAGTCCTACTTCCTTCACTCCTGAGAAGAGCTGTTCCCAAGATCACCCCCTAGCAAACCTCCTGCACCCCAATTTCCATCGCAGAGTCTATTTCCCCTGGAAGCCAACCTACAACAGCATGCATTTCTAGAAACAGATTTACCCCTTTTTGACTTGGCTGCCTGTGAACAACGACATGTTTGATGTTTCTGCATGAAACACGGTGCAGCTGGCTGACAGATACACGGTTGAACATACATTCTTAGCCTACTGAGGAGTGTACTTATTGATAGGCTGATCTAGCACCTTCCCAGTCATGGTCTGTACATTGTACAAGCATGAATCTTGGGAGAGAGTACACATTTTGAGTAAATACTTTTGATTCCTTTATTTTTTTATTTTTCAATCTTGAAAAAGATTGAGTGATTGAATTTGGTCTCTGCAGCTGAATGCTTTAGTGTCTAGTAATTGAAATGTCTGGATTAATAAGAATGCACTTTATATGAAATCTACAAAGAGAAAAGCAGTTTTGCCACCTTGAAGATTCAGGTCAAATTGAGAGTTCTATTAAAATAAAAGTATAAGGTCTGTTCAGAGTTGCTGAATATATTTAAAATGTATTACCAAACAAACAAACAAAAACCCCACTATTTTCCATGATTTCTATGGGCAACCAAGTTGTTAAATTTGTATTGATACTCAGGATGTCAAGTTTGCATAAAAGGAAGCAGGCCAGCCATTACTGGCTCATGGTACAATTTCTGTAATAGCCTTGGTAATACCCATTCACATATTTTAAAATTATTCTGTTTTCTAAAATACTGCTTATTCTTCTTGCAGTTAAAGCTTGTTTATTTTAGGAACTTGCCTATTATCGTTGACACTTTTTATTCAGAGTCTTAGTGGATCATGGATATACTAAATGCCCTTGAGCAATGACTCTGGTATGAGCTCTTAATTTGTTGTTTAATGTTGAGATTGTCTATGTACATTTTTACCATTTAAGTTCAAAGCTCCTAATTGCTCACATTCTTTTTCTCAGAAGAATTACCTTGCACATGCCCACTGTGTACATCTGACAGAGGGAGCTGTGTCAGTACGACAGAAGGGATCCAACTTGCTAAAGAACTAGGAGCCACCTACCTGGAGCTGCACAGCCTCGATGACTTCTACATAGGGAAATATTTTGGAGGAGTGGTGAGTGGAAATTCCTGTTATATAAATTAAAGTCATCTGTCAGGTGGCTCTTTAGCTATTTTCCTGAAACTCAATTAGAACTTTAGTTTTAAAAGCATTCTGAGTTTTAATCTTGAGAAACAATATGAGTGTAAGTAGAATAAAAGGTCTTGTCAGAATAAAATTGTTATTTTTCTCTCCAAATGAAATATCTTCTATTGTCTAGTACGATATTTTGCAATTTTCCATTTGGTGCCACCTTATTAAAGCATGTTTTCTCACACAAACCTGTGATGTCTGCTTTCACAGTCATCTTTAAATAGCTCAGCCAGCCTGGCAACCTGAGCTGGTGGGCCTGGAGGGTTCGCCTTCATTTCTGTCCACTGCATGGAAAGAATAATTATGCTTCTCTGTGTGTGTCTCAGGAAGACTCCAGGTACTTCTGAGCTTGGTGTGGCTCACCACTATCCAGAGAATAACTTATAAATAGCTTCTTTCTGGATGGGTGAGGAGCAGGGTCCATCGCTCTGGGGCAGTGACGTGTATTGGCTCTGCAGGCATGTGGAGGCCCATCCTAGCGCACAGCACCCAGCCTACAGGACTAGGGTTACAGGGTCCTTGGAGAATACTATAGAATTGTTTCATCTAAGTATTAGCTGACTTGGGAACCATCTTTCCAACCCTCTAAGAAGTGACTTCTTTGAATAGACAAATTTAGTAAATATTGATAAGAGGTTTAAACCAAGTAAACCCGGCATTAAACAGGAACACTTTGGATTTCTCCCTCAGTTCTCTAGCTCCTCATCAAGTACCCTTTCCAATATGCCAGAATATTCATTATGTAGATTTATTTATTTTAAATCCTCACCCGAGGATATTTTTCCATTTATTTTTTGATACAATGGGGGGGGGGGGGGCGCAGAGAGAAAAAGAGAAACATAGATGTGAGAGAGACACATCGATTGGTTGCCTCCCGCACAACCCTGACCAGGGCTGGGGACCAAACTGCAATCAAGGTTTAAGCCCTTGACCACAATTGAACCCATGACTCTTTGGTCCACAAGCTGATGCTTTAACTGCTGAGCCAAACTGGCCAGGACTCATTATGTAGATTTATATTGAGATATTGAGGTTTCCACAGATAACTTCGAAATTTCATTTGTTCTGGAGTTACTAAACTCCAGATAAGAACCAATGATAAAATAAGTACCAAATAAAAATAGTTCTGCTTTCTAGCAAATATAAATGACTATTATTCACCCAGTAAGATAAAGAAGCATTAATAATGAACCATTAAGGGAGATATAATAGTCATAGTATCAATGAATGAAAAATCTCACTTATTTATATTGATAAGCAATGGGTAGAAAGATAGACAGGGGTGAAATTTAATTTTTCTGTCAAGCAGATTATGTTATAGTGGCTTTTAAAAAAATCTTAATTTGGATTCCAAAATGGCAGTGGAGTGAATGGAAGCTACACAGACCATCTCCCAGGATCAAACTGGAATTACAACTAAAATAAAGACAAATCATCAGGAAAAACCAACAGAAAAGCAACTGGAGAGAACCCGTATAAGCACGGTCAGAAAGAGGACACCAAAACGAGCCGGGTAGGAACTGGGGAGGTGCAAGAGGGTGGGCTGGAGCCCATGGACAGCAGCTGTTTTAGCTATGAGCAGCTCCCTCAGGGTTACAATTCCAAGCCGACTCCACAGTGCAGAGGGCTGGGACAGAACACTAAATTAGCTACAGCCACTCACCTTGGGCTCCTGCAGAGGGAGGGCAGACTGGACTGGAACTGTGTGGAGAGACTTGGGAGCTTTGAGAGCTGGGACGGCAGTGGGAGTGCTGTGCTGAATCACTCCCTCACAGGACAGTAGTCATATTACTCAAAAAGCCCCAGGGAGAAGCAACACCACCCAGCCAGGTCAGAGAAATGCAAATTGAGGCTCATTAACAGCCATCAAGCATCTGCCCCACCTATTGGAAATCCTCTTACTTTGAACACCTGAGGGATTTTTTTTTAATTCAGTTGAGGGCTACAACCCAAGCCTCATCAAGTAACTGAGACTAATAGCCCGCAAGCAAAAAGCTAGAGAGGATAACAGAACCTTTCCTGGGCTTGCAAATCTACACAGGAAAGTAAGACTTGACAGTGGAGTTTAACATGGGTCCTCCCACGTGCATCTAAACCCAATAGAGGGAGCCACAAACAGCAGAACACCAACACCCACAGGGAAAATTTGGCAGCCTCCAAAACCCATTCAGACAGCCAAAATGGTGAAACAAAGAAACAAATTAAAAATGAAAGAACAATATAATTTGTCAGAAGATGAAATAAATGAAAGGGAATTGAGCAAGATATCAGAGGGAGAGTTCAGAGTAATGGTCATGAGGAAGCTCAACAGCATGAGTAAAGATAGAGAAGATTGAAAACCAACCAAGTGAAAATGAAGAATGACATAGCAGAAATAAAGAACACTTTGGAAGGAATAACCAGCAAAGTAGGGGAGGCTAAAGATCAGGTCAGTGAATTAGAAGACTGGGTGGAAAAAAATCACCCAATCAGAGAACCAAAAAGAAAAAACAATTAAAAAACAGGAAGACAGTCTAAGAGAACCATGGGACAATATCAAACTTAACAACATCTGTATCATAGGAGTTCCAGAAGAAGAAAAAATGAGCAAGGATGATAGAATATATTTTAAAAAACAATGACAGAAAACTTCCCTAACTTGGTGAAGGAAAAGGCATACAAGTACAAGAAGCACAGAGCCCCAAGTAAGAAGAACCCAAAGAGGCCCACACCAAGACACATAATAATTAAAATGACAAAAATTAAAGACAAAGAGAATCCTAAAGGCAGCAAGAGATAAGCAATAGGTTACCTGCAAAGGAATCCCCACAAGGCTCTCAGCTGACTTCTCAACAGAAACCCTGCAGGCCAGAGGGGAATGGCATGAAGTAATCAAGGTAATGCAAAGGATCTGAATCTAAGACTACTCTATCCAGTAAGGCTATCCTTCAAAATAGGTGAAATAGCGAGCTTCCCAGACAGAAAAAAGGCTAAGGGAATATATTAGCACCAAACCAGCACTGCAAGAAATGTTAAAAGGAATTCTTTAATTAGTAGAAGAGATAGGAAGGAAAATAGAACAATAAACAAAAAGGGCAATAAGTAAGTACATATCAGTAATAACCTTAAATGTAAATGGATTGAATACTCCAATCAAAAGACAAAGAGTAGCTGATTGAATGAGAAAGCATGACTCATATATTATTTACAAGAGACCCACCTCCCAAGAAAAGACTCACCTAGGTTGAAAGTGAGGGGATGGAAAAAAATCTTCCAAGCAAACAGAAAAGAAAAAAAGCTTGGGTAGCAATACTCATATCTGATAAAATAGACTTCAAAACGAAGGCCATAACTAGGGACAAGGAAGACCACTACATAATATTGAAAGAATCTATTCAACAGGAAAATATAACCTTGGTAAACATATATGCACCAATATAGGAGCACCAAAATATATCAAAAAACTACTGGAGGACTTTAAAGGAGAAATTGACAGCAATACAATAATAGTAAGGGACTTCAACAACCCACTGACATCACTGGATAGATTCTCTAGACAAACAGTTAAAAAGGATACAGACTCTAAATGTTGCACTTGATCAGATGGACTTAATAGATATCTACAGTGAATTATATCCCAAAACTGCAGAATTCACATTCTTCTCAAGTGAACATGGGACATTCTCAAAGATAGACCACATGTTAAGACACAAACTAAGTCTCTACAAGTTCAAGAAGATTGAAATCATATCAAGCATCTTCTCAGATCACAATGGCATGAAACTAGAAATCAGTTACAACAAAAACATTCAAACACATGGAGGCTAAATGGTATGTTATCACACAGCAAATGGGTTACCATGGAGATCAAGGAAGAAATTTTAAAATTCCTGGAAACCAATGAAAATGAACACACAACAACACAAAATCTATGGGATGTAGCAAAAGCAATCCTGAGAAGGAACTTCATAGCACTACAGGCCTACCTCAGGAAACAAGAAAAATTTCTAATTGACTGTTTAACCTCACAACTTAAGGAACTAGGAAGCAAACAAAAAGCAAAACCCAGAGCAAGTAGAAGGAAATAAACAGTAAATATCAGAGCAGAAATAAATGACATAGAGACAAAAAAGAAAGAGACCTAGCCAGTTTTGCTCAGTGGTTAGAGCTTCAGCCTGTGGACCAGAGAGTCCCGGGTTCGGTTCCCACTAAGGGGCACGTACCTTGGTTGCAGTTTGTCCCTGGCCCCGGTTGGGGTCGTGTGGGTGGCAGCCAGTCAATGTGTCTCTCTCAGGTCTATGTTTCTCTCTCTCTCTACCCCCCTCTCTCCCTCCTGCTCTATCTGAAGATAAATGCAAAAATGTCCTCAGGTGAGGATAAAAAAAAAGAAAAGAAAGAAAAGAAATTTCAAAAGATCAATGAAACAAACAGCTGATTCTTTGAAAAGATAAACAAGATTGTTGGACCTATACCTAGACTCAAAGAAACAAAGACAGAGGACTGAAATAAACAAAATCAGGAAGGAAAAAGGTACCAATTGACACCACAGAAATACAAAGGATTGTATACAAATACTGTGAACAATTATATGAAAACAAATTAGACAATCTAAGTGAAATGGACAAATTTCTAGAAACACACAGTCTTCCAAAACTGAACCAGGAAGAGATAGAAAACTTGAACAGATCAATAACAGCTGAGGAAATTGAAGATGTAATCAAGAATCTCCCAGCAAACAAAAGCCTGGGTTGATTGGCTTCACAGGGGAGTTTTATCGAACATTGAAAGAAGAACTAACACCCATGCTCCTCAAACTATTTCAAAAAATTCAAGAAGAAGAAAGACTTCCAAACTCGTTTTATGAGGCCATCATAATTCTAATTCCAAAACCAGATAAAGACACTACAAAGAAAGAAAACTACAGGTCAGTATCCCTGATGAACATAGATGCCAAAATCTTTAACTAAATATCAGCAAATCAGATCCAGCAATACATTAAAAAAAAAATTATTCACCATGACTAAGTGGGATTCATCCCAGGGATACAAGGCTGGTACAATAATTGCAAATAAATAAATGTGATACACCACATAAACAAACAAACAAAAAAAGATAAAAATCATAGCATCATGTCAATCGATGCTGAAAAAGCATTTGACAAAATCCAGCACCCATTTCTGATAACACTAAGCAATGTGCAAATAGAAGGATCATATCTCGGCATAATAAAGGCCATATATGAAAAACTCATAGCCAACATCATACTCACAGGACAAAAAGTAAAAGCATTTCCCTTACAAACAGGAACAAGACAGGGATGCCCACTTTTGCTACTCTAATTTAACGTAGTACTGGAAATCTTAACAACAGCAATTAGACGTGAAAAAAAATAAAAGGGATCCAAATTGGAAAGGATATAGTGAAACTGTCATTATTTGCAGATGACATGATATTGTACATAGAAAACCCTAAAGACTCCATCAAAAATCTAGATTTAATAAATAAAGTAGCAGGATACAAAATTAATGTCAAGAAATCAATGGCATTCTTATGCTTCAATAATGAACTCACAGAAAGAGACACTAAAAAACAATCCCATTTACCATTGCAACAAAAAAATTAAGATACCTAGGAATAAACTTAACCAAAGAAGTAAAGGACCTATTTGCAGGAAATTACAGGACATTGAAAAAAGTAGAGGAAGACATAAAAAAGTGGACGCATATACCTTGTTCATGGATTGGAAGAATTAACATCATTAAAATGCCCATACTCCCCAAAGCAATCTATAGATTTAATGCAATCCCCATTAAAATACCAATGAAATATTTCACACAACTAGAACAAATACTTCAAAAGCTCATATGAAACCAACAAAGATCCCGAATAGCCACAGCAATCTTGATAAAGAAGAACAAAGTAGGAGGTATTACAAACCAGATACCAGGTTATACTACAAAGCCATTGTAATCAAATCAGCCTGGTACTGGCACAAGAACAGGCATATAGTTCAATGGAAGAGAACAGAGAACCCAGAAGTAGACCCAAGACATTATGCTCAGTTAATATTTGACAAAGGTAGCAAGAGCATACAGTGGAGCAAAGACAGCCTCTTTAATAAACAGTGTTGGGAAAATTGGAGAGCTACATGCAAAAAAATAAATAAAAGTAGACCAACTTATACCATACACAAGAATACACTCAAAATGGATAAAAGACTTAAATGTGACCTGTGAATCCATAAAAATCCTAGACGAAATGTAAGCAACAAAATTTATGACATCACACGCAGCAGAATTTTCACTGATACAATGCCTAAGGCAAGAGAAACAGGAAAAAATTAATACATGGGACTACATCAAACTAAAAAGCTTGTGCATAGCAAAAGAAACAACCATCAAAATCAAAACGGAGCCCACTGTAGGGGTGAGAATAATTGCCAATGATACATTAGTTAAGGGTTAATTTCCAAAATATATAGAATATTTATGCAACTCAACAAAAGGAAGACAATCCAATTAAAAAATGGGCAGAGGACCTAAATAGACACCTCTCCAAAGAAGACATACAAATGGTCAAGAGACATATGAAAAAATGCTAATCATAAGAGAGATGCAAATTAAAACAACAATGAGGTATCACCTCACACCTGCCAGAATGGCCGCCATCAACAAATCGTTAAACAAGTGTTGGCGAGGGTGTGGAGAAAAGGAACTCTAGTACACTGCTGGTGGGAATGCAGACTGGTGCAGCCACTATGAAACAATATGGTGTGTCCTCAAAAAATTAAAAATTAAACTGCCATTTGACCCAGTGATCCCACTTCTAGGAAAATATCCTAAGAAGCCTGAAACACCAATCAGAAAGAATATATGTACACCTGTCTTCATAGCATCACCATTTACAATTGCTAAGATCTGGAAACAGCCCTAATTTCCATCAATAAATGAGTGGATAAAAAAAAAGCTGTGGTACATGTACACAATGGAATACTGTGCAGCTGAAAGAAAGAAAGATCTCATATCCTCTAAGATGACATGGAGGGTCCTGGAGAGTAATGCTAAGCAAAATAAGTCAATCAGAGAAGATAAACACCACATAATCTCACTTATTTGTGGAATATAATAAACAGGAAAAGCTGATGAACAAAACAGACCCAGAGACATAGAAAATAGAAAGTATGGTTCAGACTGACAAACCTCAGAGGAGGGGGGCGGAGGGGAGGGATGAGACAAACCAAAGAACTTATATACATGTATGTGTAACCAATGCACATAGACAACAATGCTTGGGAGGGGGAGGGATGGGGAGGAGGCTGTTGGGGGGGGGGGAGAAATATCTGTAACAAAAATTAATTTTAAAAAAAGAAAACAAAAAAATCTTAATTTGGTTTAATACTCTTACATTTTTCTAAAATATCTAGGGATTTGGGGGGGAGAGGTTGTTTCTTTTCATTTGTTGAAGAGTGGGCTGGTTCTCTTGGGGGGGGGGTGCTTAGACCTCCTGTTTCCCATTCAAGTTCCTGAACCTGAAATTCTCAGAGTCACTCTTCTCTCCCCTCAACTTACACATTCTCTTCTCTCTTCCATTTTTTGTTTCTCTTTGCTCCTAATACCTAGTGTTACAGTTAGGGTTGGCAGTATGATGAGAAGAATTGAGGATGTGGTCAAGGTTAAGAAAAACATGGCGGTTTCCTTTTTCCTTAACTCAAGACTTAATGAGAATATGGAAATAGGATCAGAGTGATTTCTTCTCAGATCCTGGAAAAGTATAGTATACCTGAGATCTTGACGGTGAAAAAATAATGGTATTTGTAAGCATATGGATGGAGACGATAATGTCAGAGTGAAAGGAGCATTTAAAATTTTTTTCTTGCCCTGGCTGGTTTGGGTCAGTGGTTAGAGCGTTGGCCCGTGGACCAGAAAGTCCCAGGTTCGGTTCCCACTAAGGTCACCTACCTCAGTTGAAGTTCGTTCCTGACCCCAATGCGTGGGTGGCAACCAGTGTGTCTCTCTCACATCGATGTTTCTCTCTCTTCCTCCCTCCCGCTATGCAAAAATGTCCTTCAGTAAGGATAAAAAAAATTTTTTTTAATTGATTTTAGAGGGAGAGAGAGATAGAAACATCGATGAGAGAGACTGTTGATTGGCCACGTTTTGCATGTCCTCCACTGGAGATTTGGCCCACAACCTGGGCATGTGCCCTGACCGGGAATAGAACCAGCGACCTCTTGGTGCATGGATCGATGCTCAACCGCTGAGCCCCACTGGCTGGGTAATGAAAGGAGTATTTGAAATTTTATGTTTACGAGTCAGGGATGGAGAGAGCTGTGCAAGGTTACCTTCAGATCAGGGCCCTCAAGCTGAGAGAGCCCCACCCAGCCTCCTCCAGTGCACCCTCTCCATGAGGCAGAAGATGCTGGAGCCAAAGGGATATGCGCACTAGGGCTGGTAGCCCCTCCTAGACCCACAGCATCTAATGTGGTAGCTACCAGCCACGTGTGGCTAATTATATTTAAATTAATTTTAAACATTTCAGTTCCTTAGGTGCACTAGTCACATTTCATGTACACATTTTAATACCTACATGTGGCTACTGGCTCCTGTACTGATTCGCACAGATGTTACAGAACAGACTTGTATGGGCCATGCTCCAAAACCAGGACCGCGGAACTCTCTGGGTAGCTGGTCCTGAGCCTGTGTCCCAGGCCTGTGCAGGTCTCTTTCCTGGTTCCATCTTCCTGAAAGTGGACCACATCCTCCTGGTGTGTGCACCCCCAGACCTGAGAGGTGGCTGAGGGGTGATTGTATGGGAGGATTGGGGGAAGGGAGAGTGGTCGGAGCTTGGATCTGCAACCATGGATGTCTGCTTGTGTGCACAAGCCTCCTCGAGGCATGGATGGAGCAGGGGCTGAGAAAGAAGGGGTGGTCTTCCGGCCCTGGAGTTCGGGCCCAACTCTCTCTGTGCTGCATGGAACGGAGGACTGTGGGAATGCAAATCCGAACCTGGCATTTGTACTTTTGCCCCGGGCCTCACAGAGGCCGTGTAGGTTCATGTGGTTAATATTTTAAATGTATTAAATAAAAAATGTATTTCAAAGTAATTTATCCAGGAAAAAGATAGAGCACGTGTGAGCTGCCCTAATTGATAGGAGCATGTGACAGCCAGATCTCTTCCTGCCTTGACCTCTGCCCTTCACTGCCGTGGCTACCAGAGAGACGGTTATCAACACTCACGCGGTTGTATTGCTAGGCTCCCTTGATTATTAAAGAGAAGAAACAGTTCCTTCTTGAATGATTATTCATATTTAGACAAGACCCAATCTGCTCTACCTGATACATTTTTCTATTTTAATGAAAAGAATGTTTGAAAGTGTTTGCTAAAGCTTACATGTAGATGGTACTGGCATTGAAAATATCTGGCAAATGTGATTTGGGTACAAATAATCATGTCAGATACATAATTTTGTTGGAGCCATAATTAAAATTTGATTCATGTTTTAGTTGGAGTATTTTATGATTCAAGCCTTAAATCAGAAGACAAGCGAAAAAATGAAGAAAAGGAAGATGAGCAACTCGTTTCATGGAATTAGACCGCCTCAGCTGGAACAACCAGGTGCATTGATTAGCCAATGTCTAGCATTCAGGTGATGTTATTATAGATCATCTCACAGGCCTCGGGGCAATTGTTCTCAGCTCTCAGTATGTTTAGGACTCACCTGGCGTTCTGGCTCAGGAAATCCGGGTTAGAGCCTATAACCTGCCTTTTAAATAAGGTTCCCACGTGATTTGGAAGCCGGTGTCACTTGGTCCACATTTTGAGGACTACTGTCTTAAAAACTTGAACCTAGTGTGTGTGTGGAGAGCTGTTCTAGATTGTAGTCCAATGAGAAATAACAACCAAATGCAATGCATGAACCTTGATTTGTTTCTGGCTCCATAAAAACATCTCAAAGATGTTCATGGTAAAATTTGAATATGGATTGGAAATGAGATGATATTATGGAATTATCGTGAATTTTCTTATGTATGATAATGCTATTGTGGTTAATAGGAGAATGTCATTATCCTTAGGAGATGAATGTGAAAGTATTTAAAGCCCAAATGTCCTGATGATTGCCACTTACTTTTAAGTGGGTCAGCAGTGAGTGTGTGTGTGTGTCTAGAGATAAGGCAAAAAATGACAAAACGTTAATAACTGCAGAATTTAAGGGAAAGTTATATGTGTGCTCATTGTATCAGTCTTTCAACTTTTTTGAATGTTTAAAAATGTCCTTAATACAAGATTGAAAGAAAATAAAGTTAAAAATTAATAAAATTACATCAACTGTTATCAGAATTCTGCAGCACACCAAAAAATATATTTTTTGCTGATCTAACAAAAAAAATAGGTATAATTTTGATTCAGTCACACCAGACCGCTATTGTTGTTTTGGCGCTTGTCATTTTTTTATTCAACAACCTAATGAAAGAGAGGTCAGTGCCCCCGACTAAATAGTCAGGTATTGCATGTTTTAAAAGTTCTTGTGTCATGCTGGTTGAAAATCGCTGCCATAAATGATACACACTTGGTTTTGAACTTCCTAGTGCACAAGAAAGGAGAGACATGGTCTGTTATGTAGCAAACACTGGGGCCTTCAGTACTTTCTGCATGGGGAGTAGCCAAATACATAATGCAGAAGATAGATAAGTTCTTAGTTCTTTTTAGTCAAGAAGAGAAAACACACCCGTTCCTTGGAGAAAGCAAAGCATTTCATGTCATTTACCACTAAACAAGTTTCTCCCGTGGGTCTTCATTTGGGGACACTTGGTGATATAGCTTCCAAATGCAGCAAATGCAGTCTCAACTTTCACAAGGCTGTTTCCTGCACCCTTCTGTTAGGAGAGCTGTGGACATCACACTGAACACAGCCCAGGGCTCCAAGACAGCACAGGCCTGGGTATCATTTGTTGTGGTCCTGACTTGCTCGAAGGACACATCCTGGATTCTGGGGCACATGGCTTCCAGACTCTCCTCTGCTTTAAAGGGTCTGTGAAGGTGCCCCATGCAGTGGAGAGGATGAAGGCTGGGGTTCAGTGCAGAAGGAGCCTGGCCCCCAAATTATCTTGTTATTGTTCATTTTATAGATTGGAGTTTTGCTTTAGCATAAAGCATTTTTATTGCCAAATAAGTTTGAATTTCACGTAATTCCGGTGATTTACAATCCTTCACAGATAACACTTTCCTCAGCTCAGCTTTGGATAAAAGTTAGACAGCAGAACTTTACAATTAGGGCCAATGATGGGAGCCTAGGGTGTGGGTATTCTGAATTGATTGCAGGCTAATCTATTTTTGTGAGTAATCAAACCAGGAAATGGAGCCTAGCCAACACTCTGCCTCAGGTATGCTGAGGGGAAAACTGATTCTGGGGAAGTATCTCGTTTTACTAGGAGGAACAATGGACTAATTTTAGGATCAACACAAAATGGTCAAGGTGGTTTTAAACAATAAAGTCCAAGACACTGAGCCCTGGCTTTGGGAAGTTGTAGTTTTAATAAGTTTTCTCCCCACTTCCAGTCCCAGGAGGAAAATGACTCCTGATATGAGGTTGGGGTTCTTCAGGACTTATTCAGGAATTTGTTTGAATTTTCATCAGGTGACAGTGAAGAATGATGACTGCCAACATACTAAAATTCAGTATTTGATTTATTTCACACAAATAATAAAAAATGCTATTTTATTGCTCCGTGTGGCATTAACAGGTTTTTCATTTGCACTATAAAAAGTAATACAACATTACTGTGTGTCTGTGTTATGAAATCCTATAGTCCTTGCATAATTCGTTTTTATATGTTTTTAAGTAGGTTAAACTATATATAAAATTGCTGTTTTCGCAGGTCAGAAAATGGCCAAATATTGGCAATTTTATGTGATTCAAAAAATACTGTTTTGTTGCAAACCTGAAATAATTGGGTCTGGAGACCTAAAGAGTAGTTTACTATTTTTTTCTTTCTTGAAACAGAAAAAATGCCTGTCTTGAAGGCTGAAGCTTCACATTATAACTCTGACTTACATAACTTGCTGTTCTGCTGCCAGTGTGTGGATGTGGTATTTTACAACCCAGACGTGAAGGAGGTGGTAGAGGCCCACAAGATCGTTCTCTGTGCCGTGAGCCACGTGTTCATGCTGCTTTTCAACGTGAAGAGTCCAGCTGACATTCAGGATTCCAGTATCATCCGAACTACCCAGGATCTCTTTGCTATAAACAGAGAGCCTGTGTTTCCAGGTGCCAGCCAGGACTCCCCAGGCAACCCACCGCTACGAGTCATCGTTAAAGATGTTCTCTTCTGTTCCTGTTTATCGGACATTCTGCGCTTCATTTATTCAGGTATCTTGCCAAATGGTTCTCGCACATTGTCCTAATCTTTTGAAATGAAGTATGCCTGTGGTCCTCAAGAGTATTGGATAGTTTTACATTTATCTTCCCATCATCTGAAGTGAAGATTATACATGAAATAGTGTTTGCTTTAAACACAGGAATTGTTCCAAGCTTTCCATCTTCCCGACAAGTTTACGGGCCCTGTTAAATCTTCTTCTAAAAACCATAATCTTTCTTCATACTAAGCAAGAAATAGCCTAAGTGTGAAACTACAGAATTTTATTATCTAGTTTAACTTTAAAGAAATAAAATGTTCCAGGTGTATATCAAAATAAGTGTCTGCATCTTCAAACTTAGCTACATATTATCCTTTCTGTTTGACGCTCAGATTTGGGAAGGGATAGAGAGAGATATTAGCAGGGTCATTACATCTCGTTTGGGAATGGGAAACAGCACTAAAAGGTAGGCTGAGATATGGCTATGACTATTTTAGACTTAACTTTTTTTCTTAACTGTGCTCTTACCTTTTTAGGATTCAGTTTATTATTTTTCTCCTTATTTTTAAAAAAACTCAGTAGCAACTATATTTTAAAGAATAGAAGTTTAATCTGAATCGTTTCAGCAAATGAATTGAAGGTCTCACATCTAAATGTCCCATATAGGAATGAAAAAGAATTAATGTAAAATGACTTTACAGTAAGCATCTAAATATATATATTTTATCCTTACCCAAGGACATTTTTCGATATTTTGTTCAGATAGAGTGGGAGGGAGAGACAAAGAGAGAGAAATATCGACGTGAAAGGGACACATTGAGTGGTTGCCACCCACACGACCCAACCAGGGCCAGGGACAAACTGCAACCGAGGTACGTGCCCCCTTAGTGGGAACTGAACCCAGGTCTCTCCAGACCGTAGGCCAACGCTCTAACCGCTGAGCCAAACCGGCCAGGGCTAAATGTATATTTTTTGAGAACTTCCTTTCATTTTCTTTTTCCACTTGGGATCATGTGCTGATGAAATACTAGATTAAGGTCAATCCTTCTCTCGAACGTGTCTGGAGAAACATATATAATCTGTTTCTAGACATCAGAATCGGGAACAGATAAGTTTATAAAGGTCTGCAAATAGAGAAGTATCATTTCTTTTTTTTTATTTTTATTTTTTTATCCTCACCCGAGGATATTTTTCTATTTTTTGTACAGATAGAGTGGGAGGGAGAGAGAGGAAGGGAGAGAGAGAGAGAAACATCGACGTGAAGGGACACATCGAGTGGCTGCCACCCGCACGACCAACCAGGGCCGGGGACAACCAGGGCCGGGGACAAACTGCAACCGAAGTACGTGCCCTTAGTGGGAACCGAACCCTGGTCTCTCAGGACCGCAGGCCGATGCTCTAACCGCTGAGCCAAACCGGCCAGGGCGAGAAGTATCATTTCTTATGGGTAAGAAAGTTTTGATAACCTTCAATTGAAATGACTGATTTTAAAAATAAGATTTTACTTTTTTCATTTGCGTTGTAATAGTGTAATTTTATAAATTAAAAATCCTTGGTTGGGTAAAGTACAGTTGCAGCGTGCAGATTTAACTGGATTAAAAATATGTGCATAGATTGGGCTAGAATGTGGTGGTAGGTGTTACATCCATTGTTCAGTGAACATTGGCTTGGAGAAAGCATAAGTGATCACTCTGACAGGGTGCACAAGCACGGTGCCTTCAGTCTGTCAGTGTCGGTTGAATTAGAACTACGGATTATGTTTAAACCTAGAATCTCACAGTTCAGAAATTAAGACTAATTTTGAAAGAAAAACAATGTTTACATGTTAAAAGAAAAAATATGACTTTAATGATGTGTTTAGAAAACTGTGAAGGAAGTGTTTGGCTTTCCCTTTCAGTGATTTTACTGTTGCAATTATGAATTATTCAGCAAGTTTCCCACAATACCCACTGAATACTTCCATAGGCACATGAACACTCTGAGGTCAGTTATATCCTCTTTACTTCTGTGGCAGTAAAATTACTAGATGTCTCTCTGGTGACAGAACCTGCTTGTCTTTCTCATGGGGACTGATATTTCTTTTTAATCCTCCCCCGAGGATATTTTTCCATTTATGTTCAGATAGAGTGGGAGGGGGAGAGAGAGAGAAACATCGACATGAGAGAGACACATCGACTGGTTGCCTCCCTCACGACCCCGCCCAGGGCCGGGGACAAACCGCAACCGAGGTACGTGCTCTTGATCGGAACCGAACCCACCACTCTTTGATCTGAGAGCCGATGCTCTAACTGCTGAGCGAAACCGGCCAGCAAGGGAGTGATTTTCTTTTAGTTGCAAAATTAATATATGCAGATGGGAAAAAGGAGGAAAGAAAAGAAAATGAAAAGTTTTCCTCATCCCCCAGTTCCATTCCCCAGAGTCAATTACCTATTAGCGATTTTGTTTTTTGTATGTTCACTCTGATGGTATTTGAAAGAAATTAAATCCTGGGAAATCTGCATCAGTGAACATGTAATATTTGGTAATTGCTGTTTTCTGGGAACCACGGGTAGTTCTGAAAGGACATGAGGCTGGCCAGGCTGGTGGCACCAGTTACTGCTGTTCTTAGAAGTTTTTCTGGATTTTTAAACATGATCACTGAGCTTTAGACAACTCATCCCTGGTGATGGTGGGAGCAATGAATAGACAGGAGTCCACTCAGGAGGCCCCCCACTCGGGCAGTCAACCTCAGGAAGGCCAATGTTCTGACAGCAGGTGGTTAGTGTTGTGGTTTGTCCATTACCTGAGCCAGTGCTTTTCAAACCTTAAAGTGCACAAAGTCACCTGGGGATCTTGTTAATGGGCAGGTTGTACTGCAGGAGACCCAGGTGGGGCATGAGATTCTGCAGTTCCAATAGTCTCCCAGGTGATACTGATACTCTAAACCATAGCACTTGTAATACCTGCTCTTGGAAGAACTGGGTACCAGCCACAGCCAGGGCATAAGGGCCTAGAGTTCACCCCAGAGACCCAGGAGAGGCCCCCAGTTCTCAGTTTTAGGGCACAAAATCAAAATGGGGTGAGCTGCAAGGCGGACTGATGCAGAGCTGGGGCTGGCAGTGCTGTTGTAGTCCGTTCCGGAAGCTGGCGAGGTGGATGCTTAGCGTTTGGGTGGAAACTAAGTGAGCCTGGGAATAGCGACTAGAGGGCTGTGGGCCATGGTGGTGAGGACAGCTTGCTGATCTGCAAGCTCTTGACCGGTTCAGAGCTCCGGCTGCTTCATCCGACATTGAGCTGTTGCCTTTCTGATCTGATCTCTCCTGAATGTCACGGCAAGAAGTGGTGGCAGCTATGACCAAAGCCAAAGGCCGTTGACCTGGGGCTGCAGGGAGATTCTGATGCTGGTTGGCAATGGAAAAATAAATGTTCCATTAGGTACCTATGTATCGTTCTTTAATTATTCACAGAGTATAACCTCAGACTCCAGCAAAAATTGTATTATCTAAGTTATGTTTAACTTAGTTATGTTAAAGCTATATTTCCACAGTAAAGACAAATTTTTTAAAATACAGAAAATTTATTTAGAAAGAAATCAACCAGATGCCCACTCTCGGATGCGTAAACATTTATTAATATTTTGTTTTACCTTCTAGTCTTTGTGACTTGGTTACTGGTTTGTTTGTTTGTGGGTTTTTCTGTTGTTGTTTGTTTTGTCTTCATATTTTTTATCAAATCAAATGACAACTTTAAAACAACTTTCTTTTTCAGAGACTTTGGTAAGGAAGCCAGATTCATGGGGTGGTTTTCTTTTTTTTTTTCTTTTTGTTGTTAAACATTTAAAAACGTTTGAACAGAGCCCAGGTTTAAAGACTCAGGTATGTAATGGTTTCCTCGCAGAAGCCTGCCCGCAGGTGATGCTAGAGGCCTGTGCGAGGCAGGAGCTGTGTGTACTCACGTCAGCTGGGTTGGCAAAGCAGAGGCAGGACTCCATGATGTGGTACACAGGAATATTTGCCCTGAGCAAACGTGGCTGAAAACCCATAGAAATCTAGCTCCTGGCTTTGTTTTTAATGAACCAAATTACAAAGAATATCTTAATTTTTTAAAATAACATACTTTTTTCAAGCTTTAAGAATTTGAAATGTTGTATATAGGACAGTTGGGTCCTGTATTTAGGAAGGGGCTGTTTTATAGTCTGGCTAATACGTTAACACCTGTAAGGTTTTTCATTTTTTTATTCAAATCTCTAGACTAAGTAAAAATATGTCTGCATTGTATATGTTAATTTTCCACTGGATAATAGCTAACCCTGCATGATGTATAAGTACTTAATGACTAGCACTAAAGAAGGAGTAATCTGAAAAGTGAGGGCTACAGTTTCCTGGGCTTCATGGAGTAATCCTTAAAAGGCTTATAATTGTAACATTCTTATACCCCTGGACACAGTCTTGATGCTTGCAAACTCCTGAGTCACGTGATCTCAGATGGTTAGGAAATTAAATATTTGTAAGAGCCTCAAGAATTTAGTTTTGAGCTCTTCTTGCCACAGATGGCCTTAGCATTTCACATCGCTGACTGAAATGCCACCAGGGTACATGAATATGTGGAAGCGCACACCATCTTCAGTTTGCAGAGGATTCTTCAGCTCGTGGAGTCATTCTGTGGCATGCTCTTTTCTGCACTGCATAAAAACATGGCTTAGGACACTCAAGTAGACCATACTCTCAGTGTCTAGTAAATAAATGCTCTGAGAAGTTAAGAAAATCTCAGCCAGTTATGCAAGACAAGCAGGTTCTAGAGATCTGCATACATACATCATACCTATTGTTAACAGTATTTTATTGAACATTTGAAAATCTGGTAAGAGGTTCAATTGCATGTTAAATGGTTTTACCACAGTTAAAAAAAAAATCCCAATCTAAAGATTATTGCTTTATTAGTTGGCATTTCTAATTATGAAAACAGCCCAATCATTGGAGTGCCCTTATGAACTAGTCTTACTTTCAGTTTTAATTATTGGATCTTTCTGTGTCTGTTCTTCCTCTTTTTTTTTTTTTTATCCTCACCAAGGACATTTTTGCATTTATCTTCAGATAGAGCAGGAAGAGAGAGAGGGAAGAAGAGAGAGAGAAACATTGACGTGAGAGAGACATATCGAGTGGTTGCCACCCACATGACCCCAACCAGGGCCGGGGACAAACTGCAACCGAGGTACGTGCCCTTAGCGGGAACCGAACCCAGGACTCTCTATCCGCAGGCCGACACTCTAACCACTGAGCCAAACTGGCCAGGGCTCTGTGTCTGTTCTTAAACAGATCAGTGACCTGTCGGGATTTATCTGCTACTAATCCCATCTATTTAGATTTGATGTTTGCTTTCTTTCACATCATCTTCTTACTGGAGATAGTGTTCTTTCTTTAATGTGATTTTACTTTTAAGAGCCAATGTCTGTGCTCTCCTTTAACGTGCATGAGTGTAGACAATAAAAAATACTTGCATATACTGTTTGCTGCACACCACTAAGCCTGGGTTTTGATAATGGATGAAATGTAGAAGGAAAGAGCAGTGGTCCCAGTAGTCAGTGCACATTAGATTAACCTGGGAGGCTTTTAAAACCCATGTCTGGGCCCCAGCACCAGACATTTTAATTCAGTGGGTCTGAGGATGAGACCTTCCACAGTGGTATTTTATAAAAGATCCGGAGGCAAATGTAGTGCATAGCAAGAGTAGAGAATCACCGGCATAGAGTAACTTGTCTTGCCCTGGCATCCCTTGGCTTCCATAGGGTTCTTCTACCCCTGACATTGTTATATAGACTTTAATGTCTGCATGTGCATGGGGAATTTTCTGGAGACAAGACAAAGAATTTATCAGATTGTGAAAAGAGTATGTGACCTTAAAGTTAAGAATCATTAGTGCAGGAAGAGGAACACAAAAACTGTAGACTTGTTCTGGACTGCACGCCTTTGAAAATTTCTGGTGGAAGGGGAGCTACAGTGAAGTTAGAAAATGAGCCGTCAGAGGTGGGAAGAAGCACCGGGTGTGGAGCCAGCTGGCACTGGCTTGCAAGAACTGATTGCGATTATTCCCAATTCCGTGTTCTGTGTTCCGCAGTGTCATGTTGGTAGCTTGAATGTGGCCTTGATGGAAATATTTACACCACAGAAACAGCACATGCCTCAAGTCTGGGCTCTCCTTCCCCGTCCCATCCCCCCAGTATACATTGTAGTCTTAAAGGTCAGGGAAGGAGAAGTTTGAAGATATGGGAGAATGCTGAATGCTCCAGGGCTCTGCCGTCTGGAGGCCTGAGGGCTTCTGGACTGTCAGTCTGATGCTTCAGATTAGCTTTGGGTCTCATCAGTACAGGCTGGCTGCAATGGCCGGATCTCATTGGTTCAATACATGTTTACCTTGTGCTCTCTACTCCCCAGTATCCACGGAGGCATCTGGCAAAGTTCTTGCTACACAAAGGTAAACATCAGAAGAGCTAGATTGAGAGCAGATAGAAAAGGACTCAGGTTACCCAGAGAGGTGAGGTGATTTGCTTAAAGTGATTAAAGGCAGAGATAGAACTGGAACCTCGGTCCCCCAGCTATGCCCACCCACACCACATCTTTTTGAACTATATTTTTAGGAATTAAGATTGTCTATAAATCGTGGATTAGATGAGGGTAATCTCTCAGAATATCATGAGCAGAATTGTGCTTTTGGAAACACATCAGCATTGAATAGTGGGATAGATCGGAGGGGACAAGGCCCTAGGGAGCCGGGAGGCTGCTGTAGGCCAAGCGAAAGGAGTGCGTGGGGACAGGGTGAACTTCTGACCATACAATTGGAATGTCTTAAGACAGTGAGGCGAAGGGGTGGCAGAGTGTGATGTAGAAGCGAAGCAAGCCTCGGCAGAGATAACTTGGAAGTGAAGACTGGGGAGGGAGGGACCAGGTGAGGTGATTTTGATCCAGTGCCATGCTCATGCAGCTCATCCGAAAATCATCGAGCTCCCCTTCTGGTTGGTTTGTGGAAGTGGTTGTGAAACATGTCCTAATGTGATCCTGACAGTGCATGAGACCTTCTGAGTGCGTTCGGTTCCTCCTGCCCGTTCCTCTGCCTGATGCCAGTCACTGCTCTCCATGGTTAGTACGATTAATTCGACCTTAGGGAAGCCCACATCTGCCTTCTTACAGGGCAAGTAAGTCGTTTGGGTGTTGGAGCACTTGTGATGGTAACTCATGTTCTGGCCGTGGCTGTTGCCCCCAGCTGAGCATCTGCAGCAGAGGTGGCAGCGCGCACGGAGGAAGACTAGGTTTTGAATGATTCAGGGGAAGTCAAACTGATTTTTTAAAATGTGAGAGTTGTTTCAATGTTTTGGCGTAATTACAAGGTTGTATTTGGTAAAGAAAAATTAGAATACTAAAAAGGAGAGAACACTGATATCTAGTAAGGTACTTATTTTTCTTTCTGCTTTAACAGAAAAAGTCAATACATATTCATTTGTTTACAGGTGCTTTCCAGTGGGAAGAATTGGAGGAAGATATCAGGAAGAAGCTGAAAGACTCTGGGGATGTTTCAAATGTAATTGAGAAAGTTAAATGCATTTTAAAAACACCAGGAAAGGTAAGTTAGTTTATTGTATGTTAGTTTACTTTGACTTTCCCTGAATTATAAGTGATATACTATAATGAATATACTATTGAGTCATGAAAAGACTCAATAATATACAATTGTGTTTTCCTTAAGTATATATTTTTGTCATTTAAATATTTTAAATGTAAAAAACATTATGTCTCACCATCTCACATTTTAATTTATGTAAGAATTTATATATGTGTAAGTCATATCTTTAAAATGTTGACTTATGGATTCCATCCTCTGAAACATTCTCTGGAATGTTCAAGAACACGGAGGTTTCTGGGTGTGCCTTCTTCAAGAGTTCTGAGAAATCTCTTTGAGCAAAAGAACAGTTAGAGGTTTGTTTTCCACCTATCAATACAGGTTCAAAAGTATACGTTAGATTCAAAGATTATAAAAATACCGACTTTCTGTACAGTCATCTGCTGTGCATGCTAAACCTCTGATCATCTAGATTGTGCAGAGTCTGCAAGGGCTAGAAAAAGAAGTTTGTGTCCTGGCCGGTTTGTCTCAGGGGTTAGAGCATTGGCCTGCCGTCTGGAGAGACCCGGGTTCAGTTCCCACTAAGGGCACGTACCTCGGTTGCGGTTTGTCCCCGGCCCTGGTTGGGTTGTGCGGGTGGCAACCACTCGATGTGTCCCTTTCACATTGATGTCTCTCTCTCTCTCTCTCTCTCCCCCTCCCTCCCTCCCTCCCTCTCTCTCTCTCTCTCCCCCTCCCTCCCTCCCACTCTATCTGAACAAAATATCGACAAAAAAAAAGTCCTCGGATGAGGATAAAAAAGAAAAGGAAGTTTGTTACACTTAAAACAGCTGCATTACACAGTTTAGCCAGTGTATTCTTATTTCCGATTCTGTGATAAACGGATTGGCTACAGTAGCTAGAAGGTAAGTTATGCACAATGCCTAGCAGAATATAGGTTTATATTAAATGTAAGAAAAAATTATTTCTTTAATATTTTATACAGATGACTGTCAATTCTACAATCTAAGTTACTAACATTTTTTAAATCCTCACCCCAGGATATGTTTTTATTGATTTTTAGAGAGAGAGGGAGAAAGAGAAAGAGAGAGGGAGAGACATCAATATGAGAGAGAAACATCTATTGGTTGGTTGCCTCCCATACATGCTCTTACCAGGGATTGAACCCACCACCTAGGTATGTGTCCTGACTGGGTAATTAAACCCTCAACTTTTTGGTATATGAGACAAAGCTCCAGCCAACTGAACCACCTGGCTAGGGCCTAAGTTATTAACATTTTAAGTTGATATTTTAAAAATATCAAGTTTTACTAGTTTTTAATGAAAATTCCTGACTATTCTTTGAGAAAATTGATACTTTTTGTGTTTTTTAGCAAAGTAACATGGAATTAAGGGCCAAGACCTTTCTTCTCATTTCAATAACACATTGAAGCAGGTATACAGAAGCTGTTCAGTTTCATAAGTGTGTGGCAGTGTAGAAACTATTTTGCAATTTAAATAAACTAAATAATGCTTTCGTAGAAATGCGCACATAAACCTGCATTCATTTTTTAAAAGTTATTTAGATTAACTAGTTTATGGACCAGAGAAAATGTATATCCAAACTTCAGCCTTCTCGTTCAAGGCATGGGTGACAACGGAATCTGTTATATACATACATAATATACATCTATATAACATTTATGATATCCAAACTGATAACCTTTATATATAAATAGATAGAAGTGTTGCTGTTTGTTATCAGCTAAGCCTTTTTTGGGTTTGATTCTGAACACAGTGATTCCTTTGGGTACTAAGAATGAAATGAATTCTTGTTGGGGAAGGGGAGGCTGGGGGCTATATGAATCCATGATATTGAACCCAATTCCCTCCTTTGCCTGGGAGGAAAGAAGAGTTTTCTGTGCCTTCTTCCTGCACTGTCCGGGGGAAGAGTCTCTCTCATTCGTGGAGTGTGACACAGGGAGGTAACACTGATAAGGAAATGTACATTTAAATTGTGCTGCCACAAATGATCTCTGTGGCTTTGTGCACGTCTTCTCAGGGCTTTCTATAAAATAAGGAATAAGCAGGATGATTTCTGAGGTTCCTACTAGCTCTCAAATTCTGTGATGCTTTTGACTGTTTCTCTCTTTTGGGTGGGCATTTCCTGAATCCTCCCCATCAATCCCTTCATAATGTGTTAAGGTGTATTGTGTATAGAATCAGAATGTTCTCTCTCATACCAGAATGTGTATAGTCCTGTTTTGATTTTCTGTCTTGCTTACAGATAGCAATCTGGAGTGTTTCTCTTCCTTATAAGGAAGGATAATTTTTCCCCCTCTTCAAATATTTTTACTTCCCAAGGCAGTAGATTAATCCAGAGTGGAAAGTAGATGATATTTATTCTTAATGCTAAAGTTATATGCTTGATTATTTTTGGGGGGATAAATCTTTCTGTGTTCCCCAGCTAGGCAAGCCAAGGTCAAAGTTCCCAGGCTGAGATTGTGAGTTTCATCAGGGGAAACAGGGCAGAGGTGAGGAAAGAGGGGCTGGCTTTTGACCCCTGGGATGTCAGAAAGATGACAGAAATGGTAAACAAAGCACAAGATCCTGAGCTGGGAGCCCAGGAAGGCTGGAGACCACTAGGTCAGACAGAGGTACAGTTATTGGAGGCCCCTGGCAGGAGCCAGGGGTGTGAGAGGACTAACAGGCACAGCCCCGGAAGAGGTTCTCTGGATCCGGATCCGGATCGAGTCCTTGTGTGGGGAGGGGTGACATTGAGAATCATACAGTTGTAGATAAAGGTGGAGATAAACTAATTCATCCCTCTCGGGTATTTTAGTAATGATTTAATAAGCAGTAGGACATGGTGTGATTGGAGGGGGTGTATTTTTTTTTCTTAATTACAAATTGAATTTTTGTGTGTGTTCTTTCTTAATTAGTGAACAAATGAGCAGGTTGTATGCATAAACATATTTTTCTAGGCGTTCATATAAGGTTGGGCTGCTGCTGTTTCCCAGGTAACAGAGACCCCCCCAGGGCTCAGGACCCAGAAGCTTCTCAGCTGTGGAGTTGAGTTTTCCCTTAGCCAGTTCCCTCACCAGGCAGAAAATGTAGTTCTTGAGGGTAAATTCCCATGAAAGCTATGATCAGAGAGGCCATAAGTAGTCACTTAAACATTTCCCACAGTTTTCCAAATTCTCTAATCAGCCCATGTATGTTATTAAAAGGTTTTTTTAAAATAACATTTTTGTGTTTCCTTATAGATTAATTGCCTAAGGAATTGCAAAACCTATCAAGCCAGAAAGCCTCTGTGGTTTTATAGTACTTCCCTCAAATTTTTCCTCAATAAACCAATGCTTGCTGATGTTGTCTTTGAAATACAAGGTATGCTTCAGTTTTCACAAAGTTTATTGTTCATTTTTATTTCCTGTTTTCTTACCTTTCTGTTTCAGCTTTGAATATTTTGGGTACAGGGATGACTTTGTTCTATTGCAAGATACAGATTAACCCTGCCTGAATTTCAACAAAATCTTGTAGGGCAATGAAGTAGTGTATTAAAATAAGAAAATAAATTTATATTTTCCATTGCCATATGTTTCATTAACTTTCAGGCACCGGTAACAGATGGATGGGGTGATCTTCACTATTACCCAAAATATTTTTGTCTGTGTAGTTCTTTAAGATCCTATCTTTTTAATCATCTGAAACCAGTCCCCTTAAAATTATATGACTCCTAGCTTATTTCATTCAGCTCTCTTACTTTTTATTTGAGCAAAAGGACCTAACCATGGGTGGAGGGTCATGCCTGGCTTTCATCAGGCATCTGTAAATGGTGTAGTGTTATCACCAAGGCAACTGAGAGCTCTTTTTTATCTCTGTAGGAAAGTAATGCTACCTACTTTTAATTAAGATGAGTTGTTTTAATGCCCATTATTGATTATTTGCTTGGATAATTTTGTCACTTTAGTAGATCAAAAGCATAATCTTAAAAATGAATTGTCAGATCCCTTTAATTATGCAAGGATAGAAAGAGTTGTGTTTTTTTTTATCCTCACCCGAGGACATGTTTCCATTTTTTGTTCAGATAAAGTGGGAGAGAGAGAGAGAGAAACATCGACGTGAAAGGGACACATCAAGTGGTTGCCACCCTCACAACCCAACCAGGGCCGGGGACAAACGGCAACCGAGGTACGTGCCCTTAGCAGGAACCCAACCCGGGTCTCTCTGGACCGCAGGCTGATGCTCTAACCGCTGAGCCCAACCGGCCATGGAAAAAAAGTTATTTTTAAGTGAAATAAGCAGGTGGACTATTACTAAAAGGAAGATATAATTCTGTTTTATGGTAGAAAAGTATGGCAGCTAACAGTCATTTACTTTTTTTAAATGCTCCCCAGAAAGATCCATTTTACTCATAAATTTGGCCACTTACCAAGACAAACAGTGAGCTGGAAACTTTCCAAAGTGCCTTCTGATAAGGTACAGTCATCACTGTCTGCAGTGTGAGCCTGGGACACAGAGAATGGGGCAGTAAAGGTGGCCTTGAAATATGTAAAAGTATGATTTGGAAAAAAAGAAAACTAACAAGAGACCCAATTTGCTTATTTGCACAAGTCGTTAACATCTGCTTATAATTTGCATTGGAGGTGTTGACACCAAACATTATGTTAGTGTAACCTACTGAGAAGATTTTCAGAAGGAACATGCAACACATGAAATTATGTTATATGAAAAACAAAGAAATAAGCAGTGATGTGGAGAATCCTTTCTCCTCGTACTCTCTCGCTTGTCTTCCATGCTTCTACCTATGGACCCTTTTACACGCACCTGCTCATGCCCCCGCTGGGGCAGAGGCCGGGGTCTGGAAGGGCTGGTTGTGCTGATGCCTGGGGCACTCTTTGTAGCCTCTCCAGCCCCCAAACCAAGGCCTCCCAGGAAGTCGGGAGCAAAGAGAAGCAGATGGGTGGAAGCAGGGGCCAGCGACGGTTCTCTGACATCATCTAGAGGAGAGGCAAGCCTAGCTTCTGAAAAGTGTGGGGAGGGCGGCTTCCAGGGCATAGAAGGCAGTAGTGCTGGCTCCTCCAGAGGAGGCTGAGCCTTCGTGCTGGAGCCCCAGCTCCAGCCCTTGGCTTTGATTTCTGACCAGTATGTGTCCTAGGGCAGGTCACTCAGCGTGTCTGGCCTTAAGTCTTCTCATTTGCAAAGTGAAGAAGGTCCTTTTTAGTGTTGAGCTTGATGAGGTGGTAGTGACAGGGACTAGAAAGACCTAGATTGGATCTTGCTTAGATGCATATTTACTATATAATAGGTTTGGCTGTGTTATTTTACATTCTGATCCTTTGTTTCCTTGCCCATAAAATGGGGATACTAATTTTCACCTGGTAGAGTGGTCCCTGGGATGGGGATGGTGTGTATGAAGGTGCAGATAGAGGCCTGACTGATAGACCACTTTCTTTCCCCTGCAATGACAGCCAACACTGATGGACTGATGCACTGTTTCCTGTGAACCCAGGGCCTCAGCAAATCCTTCTTTTAAAACGTTCCAGGCCATTGTCGACAACTGGCTGGAGTGGACCTAGGATATATAACCTATTTACTGTTCCTGCAATAGATAGTCCTCAAAAAAATACTACCACTCCCAATTTGGAGTGTGAGTGTGTGTCTTTTTCCATGAAATAATTTTTATTAAAGAAGCTACTATAGCAGTTCTAAAACTAGTCTTGGTAAACATTAGACCTGATATAGAAAGATATGAATTTCCATTTGACATTTGAATCTGTATTTCATAGAAATCCCTTTGACATTCTGTCCCTGTTTACTTAAGTAGTACATATTCTTAATCTCTCTTGAACTAGCAAGTTTACTATTTTCAGAATAAAAAAAAAATTTTTTTTTAAACTTGGCAAACATTTTCTTTTAGTATATTATAAAAATAAAGATCTTTGATAATCTATGCAAAATTACTAGAAAACTTGGGCTTTTAAATTTCGTTTCACTCTTAAAACTCTTTTCCTTAGAAAAAGTGTCTTAAAACTATAACAGCAATTAGATACTACAAAAAAGACACTTTGGCCTTGACATTTTCAAAGAACATGTTTATCTTTTAACAAGAAAATTAGTGTCTTTTTTCCTCCCCGAGTAATTCTTCTGCTCTATCCTGTTGCTGTTTAGTATATAAACACTGCATTATGTCTATTCCACAAGTCTGATACAGTGTCTATATATTTATCTAGTTTATATACACTGTTTAAAAATGTGGCTCTACTGAGGTGTTGTCTTAACAGTTTCACAATAGAAGAGTTTATAACACCAAAACAGTAGTTTAAAAAGGTAAAAAACAGAGGTTAAGGTTAAAAACAGAGGTTGTTTTCTTAACAGGAGGTATAATGGTTTTCTAAACTAAATTCCAAGCTTGAAATTGGCTTAAAAATGCTTTAAGGTATTGAGCCTTTTGTTGCTGATTTTGTAACCACATTATCTAATTCATATAAGCCATGCTTCTAATTTTCCGTTGTTTCTTTTTTTTTTTTTCCATGATACCCTATTTAAGATTTTAAAACCTTAAAATTACAAGCCAAATTGCATTACCTGTTTGAACTCTTTGTTAATTTCTGTATACAAATGTATCTAGCATGCATTGAGTGTGGAAACTAGTCATTCCGTAGGTGGCCACCAGTATTGAGGGCAGGTGGCCGAAAGGCAAAGAGGCAGGGAGGGGAAAGGGCTGAGAGGGTAGGTTGTCTGCTAACAGATGTGTGGTGCCCTGGTAGGAATGCTCACTGTGGCCCCTTCTCCCTGCTCCCGTGGGAGGCCCGCCTGTGTAAACCACAGCGCCTAGCAGTGAGCTCAGAACTGCCGGGCCGGGCGTTGCTTGTGAATCCTGAGAGATTATTGGCTTTGGAGAAAGCCCCTGGGCTTAGACGGAACTCTTTTCTGAGCCAAAAGATGTTTTGCTTAGATTTACAGAGGGTTAGGAATCCAGTCATTGTAAATATTTTAGAGAAAAATCTATGTCCCTGAGAAGTATGTGACTTTAGGGATGTGTAGGTGAAGACTCTTGGACATGGCAGGGTGGTTTGGCTGATAGAGTCTTTCCAGAGAGAGGGTGATAGCTTTGTCTCACGCTGGCTGTTAGTGTCTTCTCCTAACAGGGCAGCTTTGTCTTTCTCATCTTTGTATCTTCAGTATTAGCACGGTGACTGGCACGTGGTGGGTGCTCAGGAATGATCTGTTGAACTTATCTAGACTAAGCTGAAGGCTCGCTGTGGATTGCTAGTTTCCTAATGTGTTTCTCTACCCACAAGCCCCAGGTGACATATGTCTCTTCTGGAGCTTGTTGTGATGGCACAGTAGCTGGAGAAGAGGCTTTTACTAGAGAGTCAGTTTAGTTTAATGAGCTTCAAGGAAGGGTTTGGTCTGAGGGGCCTTTAAAATTTAAAGTAGCTCTGGCTCTCCTAGAAGCAGGCATCATTCATTTAGGGAAGAGAGGTTCCCTTGGGAGGTAGGGTGCTGGGAGGCAGCAGGGGGACTAGGCCATCTCCTTCCGAGTTTTCCATAAGATCTGAGATGCTCCCCTTGGCTCCACAGAGATTCCCTTGGCTTAGGCCAAGGATGGTTTATTTCCTGTCTCTGATAAGGGGAAGCCTGGCCAGGACTGTCCATGAGTTGGCCAAGAAAAGAATGGTATTGTTTTCTTAGGAGGCACGTGGGCAGGGGTGGGTGGTGGTATCTCAGACCTGGAAAGTATAAAAAAGTTTCATTACAAATACATGAAGCAAAATATTTTATTTCAGTGTTTCTGTTTTCAAGAAATATAAACTAAGTAACAAACAATTGCCAAATTTTTGGTTTCAAAGTCACCTTTTGAACTTTTTATTTTTCAATGAAAAACTAAAAAGGCTCTGAATTAAAGCTGGTTATCACCCCAAAATTTGATATATCAGCCGAGTTGTACCTAATGCAATACCAGTCTAATCACAGGGGAAATTGCAGGAATAATAACTCTGCAAGTTTATGTTACTTAAATTTGTTTCCCTCTGGACCCCTGCAGGTACGACGGTGCCAGCCCACAGGGCCATCCTGGTGGCCCGCTGTGAAGTGATGGCAGCCATGTTCAATGGCAATTACATGGAAGCAAAGAGTGTTCTGATTCCAGTCTATGGTGTTTCCAAAGAGACTTTCTTATCATTCTTGGAATATTTATACACAGACTCCTGTTGCCCAGGTGAGCAGTATAAATTGTTAGATAACATCTCAATTCTTTCTTTGCGAAATGTTTAATGCATTGCTTTCTGTGAAGTCTGTTTTTGCTTAAGGTTTATCAGAGTTGACATCATGGAATGTGCTGAGCAGATGGAGGTAGTGTTGGGCAACAGTGAATTCTGTCTGTTCAAGTGGAAGAGCTTTGATTGGGTACCTCTCATGGGCTCTCAGACTCTGACATAAGTACATGCGTCCCAGCCAGCGGCAGCAGCACATGGTCACTGGGGCACCCTGGGGACCTAGTGGCTACTCCGGTTCTCCAGACCGGGACAGAAAACCTCTTGGAGCACTGTCCTTTCCACGAGAAGGAGATTGGACAACTGCCTTTATGGCTCTGCATTCTGACGAAGGCACTGTTAAGGACTTTCGGTATTCTGGTCATTTCTCTGGCCCAGAGAATGCGGGTGGTGGTGTTTTGTTTTGTTTTTAAATATAATCTTTAAAATATATATATTTTTTTATTGATTTGGGGTGGGGAAAGAAAGAAAAAGACATTGATTTGTTGTTCCCTTTACTTATGCATTCATTGGTTGATTCTTGTATGTGTCCTGACTGGGGATTGAACCTACATCTTTGGTGTATTAGGACGATGCTCTAAGCACCTGAGCTACCCAGCCAGGGCAAGGAATTGGGTGTTTTGAAGGCATTCTTCTGACTTCTCCTAAAGGCAGACTCTTCCTGAAGCTGACTCCTTTGAAAACTTTTCCTAAGATGTTTAGTGCCCAGTGGGCTGCAGGCTGAATTTCCCTAGTCCCTGACTGTCTTTGGACGAGGAAGGAACTGTGGCAGCTGTAGGTCGGAACAGGTCTCCCAGGTTCCACTGGCTGCAGGCACCTTGGAGAAACAGCAAAATCCTTTCAACAGGCCGTAAAGCCTTGGGGTGTGGGCACAGGATCCCCTTTGATTGATCTTCACCCTTTGGCCACCAGATGGCTCCCACCACAAACACAACTAGAAGGCCCCGGTTGGCTTAGTCCAGGGGCCTGAGAGACCTGGATTACAGAACAGGCCAGGCACCCCACCTAGCTAACCGAGAAAGAAAACACACATTTCAGACCATTCCTCCCTTGAGGTTTTGTCTTTTGATTTTGAGATTTCAAAGATAGCCTGTGTTTGTTACTGAAAAGTTTAAAACAAGTCTGAAACCTCTAGTCAAAAGTTTTAGAGTTCCAAAAAAGAAAATTCTCTTTTCAGTTAAGTTAATTCTGGTCTTTCAGTTAGCTATGATATTTAGGAGCCAGTTACAGTTACTACTGTCCGTGGTAAAGACTGGCATATCGTTTTTGCATAATAAAAATGAAAGCATCGATTCTCATCAGAATAAGTGTTATTATTTATGTTATTATTTTGATACTGGCCAGTATGTATATTAAATTAAAAACTTGACCACATTTGAAATAAGGAAATTAGGTTTCTCAGTCATCCTGTCACTAGAGTAATTGGTGCTTTAATTTTGGGGTGTTATCTTGCTAATTAGAAAAAAATGCTCAGAAAAGCACTAATAAGTGTAGGACAAAACACTTTAAAAATTGGTAAAAGGTGTAGGGGGAAAATTAGTCAAAATGAATAATCTAAAAATTAAGCTGAATACTGGAATATCTGCAAGGAGGTGGGGGGCAATCACAGAAAGAAAGGTAATCTGTTTATCATGTTCAACATCTTGCACAGTATTCTTTGTTCCTAGCTATGAAAGAATGTAAGGAATTTAAGGAGGGCTAGGAGAATTACATCAGAAATCAGACTTAAGGGAAGTGTTGAAATAAAAACAACAACAAAACAACCATGGTGATTGTCAGGTTGCGAGGCGGGGGATGTGGGAGTTACTATTCATGGACACAGAACTTCAGTTTGGAATGATGTCGAGTTCTGGACACGGATGTGGTGATGGTTGCACAGCAGTGTAAGTAGACTTAATGCCAATAAGCTGCACACTTAAAAATGGCTGATGGTAGGGTGGGGAGGGGGAATTTGGGGAAGGTAGTCAATGAATACGTTCTAGGGGCATAATGTACAACACGAATATAGTTAGCACTGCTATGTTATATAATGGAAGGTTGCTAAGATTGTGGATCCTAAGAGTTCTCATCACAAGGAGACATTTTTTCTTTTATTTTTAATTGTATCTACGTGAGATAATGACTGTTAACTAAACCTGTTGTGGTCATCATTTCACAGTGTACGTCAATCAAACCATCATGCTGTACACCTTCAACTTATACAGTGATGTATGTCAATTATTTTTTTTGAAAAACTGGGAAAAAAATGGTTAATGGTAAATTTTATGTTTATTTTACCTCAAAACAAACCTAAACTAAAGCCAAGAGAAGAAAAATGGCATGAATTTAATTAGCCAGCAGAAGGAATTGTCCCATAGTATGGAATTGATTATTAAAGGTAATTGTAGAATCCCTCTCTCTGGAGAATTTTTAAAAAGCAAAACCGACACATAAATTTTTTTTCTTCTGAGTCTGAAGTCTTAAATTCTTTTTTAAAATGGATTTCGGAGTGCTGACTCCTTCAAGGTTTTCTCGAAGCATTCTGTTCTACATTGGATGACAGAGTCAGCATTTTTTGTTTGTTTTTTGTTGTTTTGCTTTAGGTCATAAAAGAAATGGCTTTATTATCCATGTTCTCTCATTTCCCTCCTTGCGTCAGCCGGCATTTTCCAGGCCATGTGCCTCCTGATCTGCGCTGAGATGTACCAAGTGTCCAGACTGCAGCACATCTGTGAGCTGTTCATCATTACGCAGCTGCAGAGCATGCCCAGCAGAGAGCTGGCGTCCATGAACCTAGATGTAGTTGACCTGCTCAAGAAAGCCAAGGTAACTGGCCCTGTGTATCTGCTTATTTGATTTTTTAAAAATCTTATTAAAAATTATACGATTTTAACCTTTCTGCTTATTAGGAGATACGTTAGGACCTATCTTGGTTTGGAAGTTTGGCTAAAAGAGGCTCAAGTATCCTCACAATGTCTGTGGGCAGGTCATTTGAGGAGAGGGTTTTTGAGCAATCCTTTTCCAAGGATGTAGAATTTGCTGATGTGGACTTTTTCAACTGAATGATGGTTGTTATTAGAGTCATTTGAGTGTGGTGCCATATTGTGTCATATAGGCATTATAGAAAATAGAATTTACATTGAATTTCATTCCATCTCTTGCCAAGGGCCCACACTTAATGATCTCTTAAATTTTGTTCAAAAATAAAATTCTGCATTTGAACTGTGTTTTTGTAAGCAGCTATTTATTTCTGTGATCTCCTTTCTTTTTCAAAGTCACAGCCATCAGGCAATGTTTTGAACTTTGGTTGGTAGGTTATTTGCTCTGGGTTAATCATCTAATAGTGTTGGTGGTGTCTGTTAAATCAGCTACATGCTCTTCTCTATTCCCTTGAGATCATTCACACTCATCTGCCAAAAAATAAGGTGAAAAAAGGTGGTTAAAATGTAATGTGGGATTAGATGAACGATAAAGTCTCATCCAACTCAAAAAGTCTGATTTTGTGTAATAAGAAGCAGGAGACCTACAATGAATTTACATGTTAAAGTATTCCCACATTATAACTTTTTAGAAGAGCAATACTTGAGTTTCTTCTTTAAGATTTGAAATTACAAATCTTCAATTTAGCATTACTTATTTTTTATATATTTTTGAGTGTCCTTAAAAGAGCTATATGAAGCCTAAAGGTAGAAACAACCTAAATGAATCAACAAATGAATGAATAAACAAAATGTGGTATATACATACAATGGGGTATTACTCAGCTTTAGAAATAATGAAATTTTAATACATGCTGCAACATGGATGAACCTTGAGGACATTATGCTAAGTAAAATAAACCAGACAGAAAAAGGACAGATACTGTATAATTCAACTTATATGAGGCACCTGGAATAATCAAATTCATAAAGGTAAAATAAAATAGTGGTTACCAGGGACAGGACCTAAGGGAAAGGGGATCTATTATTTAATGGGGAAAGAGTTTCAGTTTAAAATGATAAAAAAAGTTTCTGAAAATAGATGGTGGTGATGGTTGCATAATGTGAATGTATGTAATTAATGCCCCTGAACCATACACTTAAAAGGGGAAATTTTTATGTATATTTTACCATATTGATAATGAAAATAACTATACTTATGTATCAAAATTCCTTACCAACAAGTTACCATAGTCTGAATTGAGTGGTTAGATGGATCAGTGACTGTCACTGGATTAGCACCAAGGTGATGACGTCATGGCCAAGTTGCTCTGAGTGCCCCCTCCATTAGCTATTGAAACTCAGAATGAGAAATACATGGGGAATCCTGCTCAGTGTAACAGTATATCTGAGTTAAAAGCAACTATTCAGATAAAACCTTCTCAGAGAAATATGTGCACATTGCCATCCGCAACCTTAGATTGATGACGTTTCTCCTAAAAATAAATTTTGGTTTGCTCCTCTGGTGAATTTGTTTAGATATAGCCAAATGTATGCCTTTCCTAACCATAATCATTTTTTTAATTAATCAATTTATTTTTGTTACAGATGTTTCTCCTTTTTCTCCCCAGACCCCCTCCTCCCCATCCTGCCCACCCCCAGCATTGTTGTCTGTGTCCATTGGTTATGCATACGTGCGTATTAGTTCTTTGGTTTATCTCATCCTTCCCTGGCCCCCCTCCTCTGAGGTTTGTCAGTCTGAACCATACTCCTATCTCTGCTACACAGATACAAGAATAGTTAGTGAAGGCCATGACCATAGATTAAAAGCTTAAATTAAATCCTCAAGAACTTCAAACAGCCGTTGTGAACCACGGATGCAGCCATACATCTGCTTAAAGACATTCAGCCACTGCAGCAGCTGGGGCTTGTTATTCATTGATTCAGTTTTTTCACTGATGTAATTTTATTATTATCTGTTATCAATACTCCCTTTTCCTTTCTGCATCCAGAGTAAGCTGAAGGCTGCCTCATATGTGGACCCATTCATTGTGGATTTGGGCTCTCCTTGGTTTCTCCCAGACCCGTTCTCCCCGATCTGACAGTCATGTTGATGGTCATTATGTCCGATACTGTCTCACTTTCATTTTTCCTGCAGTTTCACCACTCTGACTGCCTTTCAACCTGGCTGCTTCATTTCATCGCCACTAACTACCTCATCTTCAGTCAAAAGCCTGAATTTCAGGATCTTTCAGGTAGATTGCCAACTACTGCGTTGAAATAAAACCTTATGTTCTTTAGTCTTAGATTTGAGATGCAATTCAGAGGAATAGTAATTTTTAAAAATTAAAAAGTCAATGTAACATATTCCTTTTAAATATGCAGTGTGGTCATTAAAAACGTAGCTTGACCTGTGTTACACAAGTTTGCTAGTGATTGTTTTTATAGCTCCCTTCATTTTTAATGCATTTCCCCTCTGAAGTATAGTGATAACGTGGCCTCTGGTAGCATTTGCTTTTGATCAATAAGATCTTGGTTTTAACCACCCAAGTCAGAAGCAACATTTGAACAATACAGATTGAAAAACATTTTTTTTGTAGAGGAATTATAACTATTATGTATTATTTATAATATATAGTTCTGTTGTACTATCTATATCTATTAAGTCTATCTATATAGGAGTTCACTGTCGTACCTGGGAATAACAATTTTTTAATGACTAATGGATGTTATAAAACTTACTGTGCAGAGAGTATACATGGTGTAATTTTTCAGATAAAACAAAGATTAGAACCATTCGAAGGTTGAACTTCTCAGTGTGCATAAGAGGAAAGAACATGAAAATAGACTAGTCATCGTAGTTGACCCTCTCTTTAGACACAGTGGTGTGCCCACGTTATTACCTGGAGTAGACTCAAGGAGTAATCAAATGAAAAGGGACAGGAAAGGAAAGTTCACCTAGTCAGGTAGTTTCAAACTCTAAACAGTGAACTCTCCTTAGAGATGCCTGAAGGTCTTCTGAGGTGGGGCAGAGAGGAGAGTGGACGAGGGAAGAGGAAGGCGCCAGGAGAAGGGAAGGGGAGGGAAGGGAGAGAGAAGGCTGCATGTGCACTGCTTGGTCACGTCCCTCCCACTGTCAGCCAGGGGAGTTCCACTGTTATCTGCTTATATCTTAGCCTTCTACATAAAATTTTACTTGTATAAGAGAATCTGCTGCTAAAAAATGTTTACCTGCCTGGTTTCATTCAGCTTCATTATGTAGACATGGTTGATTGTCAACTCCATTTTCAGTCCTTTTCCTTCTTAGGAGAATGGTGGGGGTGGGAAGGCTGGAAAGTTTAAGCTTCTAATCATGGCTTTTCAGTGACCAGCCCACATCCAGGAGCCCACCCAGAGAGGTCTAATTAAAAGAATACAAGGCACTACTGTCACCGGGAAATTGCAGATGTTTCAGGAGCTGTCAAACCAGGGTCAAAGACCACATATTAGAACAAAAGGTGCTCCGAGTGCTTTTATTATGGAGAAATTGCAAGGGTTTCAGGAGTTCTGTGCTAAGAACTGGGTGCAGAGACCAATATATATTTCCTATTACCTCACAAGAGGAAACTTAGAGGAATAAGGAGACACAAGGAGTAGAAGAAAACTTTTTTTTTTTTTAACTGGCTGGTGTGGCTCATTGGTTGAGCATCAGCCCATGCACCAAGGAGTCGCTGGTTCGATTCTCAGTCAGGGCACGTGCCCAGGTTGTGGGCCAAATCCCCAGTGGGGGGCATGCAGGAGGCGGCCAATTGATGTTCTCTCTCATCAATGTTTCCATCTCTCTCTCCCTCTTCCTTCCTGTCTCTCTAAAAATAAATCAAAAAACAAACAAAAAACTATAAAAAGAAAAGCTTTAAATTTAATATCCTCAAAGAATTAGAGGTATACATCCATAAAAAGTAGAGCTAGAGTGTTACTAAAAAGAAATAATAGTAGTAAAGACAGAAAGCAGAATGGTGGTTTCCAGGGACGGGGAGGGGAATAGGGAGCTGTGGAATGGGCAGAGTTTCAGGTTTGCAGGGTGAGGAGTTCTGGAACTGGGCTGCACAACAGCGTGAATATACTTAATGCTATTTACCATGCACTCAGCACTTAAGAATGGCTGAGATGATTTGTTTTATTTTATATGTGTTTCACCACAATTTGAAAAAAAAAAACAACAAAAAATACAATAAAAGAATAAGAAGTCACTTTTGGACATTAGAAATATGATAGTAAAAAACCCAGCTGAATAAAATAGTTGAAAGATAAAGGTAATGAAGTCTCCCAGAAAGAACGACAAAAAGACAGGGAAGAAAGGGTTTAAAAAAAATTGGAGGCTCAATCCAGGAGGTGAAGTACCTGAATAATAGAAGTTAATATAGAAAAAAATAAATAAAAACCAGTAGGGAGGAACTGATGAAGAAAAAATACAAGAAGTTATCCCAGGAGTGAAGGTCTTGAGTCAGCAGATTGAAAGAATCCACTAAATGCTCAGCTAAGTGCTCTGCTTAATGAACCAGGCGCTTCACTGAGACACGAAAGAATGTCGAGTGTAAGTAGAAAAAAAATCGAAAAATTTACAGGAGAACAAAACAAAACATACGACTTACCAAGGACTCTGACTCTGAACGGTAGTGGACCTCTGAGCAACCTTGGACACGGAAGGCGGTGGAGTCTGTCTCGAGCGTTCTGAGGGGGTCTTCAGCCTAGAACTCCGGACTGAATTACGTGTGAGGAGAGATTAGAAGCGTTTCATCACAAGCAGAGTCTCAGAACTATTTCTTATGCACCCACCTTTTGTAGGAAGCTAATAAAGGTTCTGCTTCACTAAAACTAGAGGATAATCGGAGTGAAGGACCTGGCGTCCAGGCGTGGAGGGTGAGCAGGAAAGCGCGAAGCCGGCCCGGGGAGCAGTGGGGGCAGGCGGGAGGCAGGGTCTCCAGGCAACGGCCTTGACCCCACTGCCGACGGATAGGTTGTCTGATGACTGGTTTGGTGGAAGATAGAATTGAGAGGATATAAAGAGTTTGAAAGGTTGAGTTAGTTACAAAGGAAAAAAACCAATTGAAAAAAAAAAAAATGAGTCCATTATCGTCTCCAGGAAAAACAAGTCTTATACGAGACAAAAAAACAACAACATAAATACTCTGTGATGAAGCAATGGAAAGATGTATCCTGAGGACTGATTTGACCAGAATTGTATTTAATGCCTTTGGAAGGCTTGAGGGAGGAGTAGGGGGTATATAGCAGAGCTTGGATGTCATTCATTAAACAGGAAACCAGTAATGCTTAAACTCGATCCCAAATAAAATATATTCAACTAACTTTTTTTTTTTTTTTTTCTAAAAATTTTAGTGGAAGAACGCAGTTTTGTTGAAAAGCACAGATGGCCGTCGAATATGTACTTGAAGCAGCTGGCGGAATACAGGAAGTATATTCACTCCCGGAAATGCCGTTGCTTAGTAATGTAACCTGGCAATTTTATATTCATACACTTTTAAAATTATTATAATGAGGAATGGGTTTCAGTAAAATTCTTGTGACCTAAAAACAGGCGTTAAAAAAAAAATATGGGCGTTAAAAAAAAATCACCATACAGCTTAATGTGTTTACTAGCTCTCTGAAAAAACTACTGTTGTAATTTTAAAAGGGAACAAAATATACCATAGGTTAAATCTAAGGCTTCACCTAGTGTGTAAAGCTGTTGCACAGCTATTTATTCCCCTTAAGATGCCCTGTTGCTTTAGTGATATTTATACCCTTCCCAGTTAAGAAATATTTAAATTTTTAAAAAATCACGTAGGGTTAATACAGAAATTTCATCATGTCTGATTAATTGCTCTGTTAAAATAAGGGGCATTTAAAGACCCAGGGTGACTATTTCTATAATGAAAAATCTAGGGGAAGACTGATCAACCTGAGACGTGAGGAATCAAAATTTTGCTGGGATTTTGAATGTGAAATGATACTTGTTTCCAAATCAGTGACAGTGTTTGAACCATCCTGAAAAAAAATTCTGCTTTTTGTCCGAACAACCCAGCTGAGCCACCTTGTCTCTAACCTGGGATTCTGATGAGGCAGGAAATCTAAGCAGGGGTGACTCTATGGCCAGGTAACCTGAGCAGTTGTACAGGGCCACAGGCTCAGAGGGGCCCCCTCTGGGCTCTGAGCTCTGCTGTCGCCATCTGGAAATTCATAATAATGTTCAAAGAAGGGCCCTGCATTTGCACTTTGTACCGGGCCCCAAAACTATGTCTGTCTTGTAGCAGGATATGTATATTTTCTTGCTCAAACATTGTTGACCTTGAAAGCAGAAAAGTGGCACTGGCCTCAGGGAAAGAGTAGGAGGCCTTCTGGAAGGGAGAGAGCATATTGGGATTCTGGTATCTTTGGGGAAGTCTGCTCCACCCAGGGCCTCTGTGCCACCTCGGCTAGCAAGTGAGAAATGCCTTGTGTTGTCTTATCTTTAAAACACTCACAGTTCTGGCTTTATCACAGATGAACAAGTACTTTCTTGATCATTCTGTAAGACGAGGATATTGGTAAAAGTGACTGATCCACATAACTTTAATACATATTTATGAAGATGCTCACAGGGAAACATCCTTTTTAGAGAATTTGCTATCAAAGGCTCAAGATGTTTTTGTTTTAGTGTATTTACTAAGATTAGGATGTCAGTGACTTGAATTATTTGGATTCTTTCCGAGGACTACAAGGTCATTTGATGAGGAATAGCATGAGTTTTGTCCTTCAAGATTACCCAGTAAGTTAAAAGAAAGGATATAAATGAAAGGCTTGTTACATGTAGAGAAAATGGTACCAGGGTAGAGGACAGAATTCTTGTTTCTCTTGTGCTACTTGTCAACAGAAGCTCACAAGCTGAGATGGAAAACCAGATCACTATGTTATTGTTGGCATCATCTTCATCAGTAATGTAATTCAGTATTGGATATATTTTCCTTTTAATTTCCAGTTACTTTAGAATACATATAGTTTCCCAACTGTTCAAAGATTTGATTAAACAGTTTTACACTCCAGTATTAGAATCACTAATACTATGTGTACCTGGGATGTATACAACATTGTCAGAGTGAAACAATAAAAATCCCCTACATACTTCTTCCAAGAAACCTGATTTTAGTTGAATGGTGTTGATGAAGATGACTGGGATGCATTTTATGTTTTTTGTACTCTAATCACTTGAGTTAATCAACTATTGGCAAATCCCACCTGGCATGGACGAGCATGGTAAAGAATAGATACTGTAGTGGATTTCTAGAAATTCATTCACATTTAAGAACATTTAAAATTCAGTGATAGTATTTTGTTCTTCATAAGCACATTCTTACCCCTATGTGAATTAGAGCATTTAAAATTCTAAACCAGTAACTTTTAATCTAGGAAAAGAAAAAATAAAAGTTCTAAAGCAAAATATATTCTTGCAAATACTATTTAAAATTTAAATAGACCACAGATAATTTTCAGGTTGTTCGACTGGAGTTGAGTTTGGAAGTTGATAACCCTGTTGATGTTCAGCGTGTAGTTTTTGTTATAGAAGTTTTTTACCACCTGTGCGAGTGACTCAGACATGCAGATATCACAGCTGGCCAGAGCTAGTCAGGACAGTAATCAAATTAGCTTTTAAATCTAGATTAAAATCTTTGAATTAACTCAATTTAAAATAACAAGATATTGAAAAATGCTTTTATGCTATCTTGGAGAAATGAGTGCTCTTTTGAATTTTTTTTTTTTTAATTGAAAGATTATTTCTAGGTGAATGTATGCTCTCTGCTGATCTCTGCTTCGATATATTTACCAATCATTTTAATTAGAGAAGATACTGTATGGTAAAGCTAAGGCCTTTTCTTTCTGGACCAGGTTTTCACCTTATATAACCCTTTGTATACTGCTGGCTACTCTGTGTTCATATTATAGGAGAGTAGGCTTGTAAAATAGAAGTTTCAGTAACATAACTGAAATCCATCCAGTCCAAGCCAGCCTGGTGGCTTCGTATTGGGCAGCAGCAGAAAACTGAAGATTTGGATAAATTTGACTTTCAAGACAGATAAACTTTTCAACTATGATTTTAAAAACAACACTACATTGATACAGTTAGTTATACAAAAGAATGTCCTCAAGAGTATTTTATTTTATTTAAAGCATCTGTTTAATTCAGTCTTTAATAATTTTGCAAAGAAGGGTATGTGTGTATTTTAATATAGCCTGATCTGAATTTATATGTTTTTAGCTTTAGTATTTAACATTTTGTAACAAATAAACCTTTTCTAAAAAACAAGTTTGCCACAGTATTCTGTAGTTATTTTACCTTGGATATTGAAGTGCTGGAATGAATATGGGAATACTGCCTCATTTTTATCAAGAGTAATTATGTTTCACAGAAAATTTTCATCATGTGTAAAATTGTTAGAATATTGCTGATATTGTAGATGATTCATATGCATGTGATAAGAGAAATTTATATTATAGCTTATATAGAAAATTCTATTTAACAGCTGTCACCACAGTTTCTCTTAACACAATAACTGCCTCTATTTAGAAAAAATACTTTGGTAATTATTTAGTGTACCTGTGAGCCCTCTGCAGGCTTGACTGTCGACTGTGCATAAGAGAGTTAAGGATTAGAACTTTCGCCCTTCCCAGGGACCTCGGTTAGAGCGTCGTCCTGATATGCCAAGGTTCCATCCCAGTCAGGGCCTCAGCCAATTAGTGGAACAGCAAATCAGTGTTTCTTTCTCTCTCTCTCTCAAATCAATCAATAAATAAAAATTTTAAAACATATAAAATCGTTTTTAAAAATAAGATAAAAAAGGAGAAGAACTTGGAACTTTGCAGAGCTGAAGAGCCCAGACAGGAGGAGCAGGAGGGAGACCAGGCAGGCATACACGAGGATGGAGTGTGCACTATATAGTTCAGACTCTCCCCAGGGGGCTCCCAGGTTTTTAGTAAAGGCTGTTAAATCCATAAAGGCTTCCACAGTTTCATTGGAATTGTGTTCCTGACACACATCTCACCTGGGAACACACTCTCCTAGAATACCCCTATTGCCTATTGCCTATGCCTGACACACATCTTACCTGGGAACACACTCTCCTAGAATACCCCTATTGCCTATGGAAGAACCTCCACGGACCTCATTGCCTTTCATAATCTATCCCATCTTTACTGCTTGGACATTCAGGACTGTCCATCCAGATTGTCTATATACTTGCACACCTCGTACACTTCCTCTGCCTTGGCTTAGGTTCCCATCCCCTGTTTACTTGGCAAATTCCTGCATATCCTGTAAAGCCCAACTTAAACATCATATCTCTCTTGCTTTCCAAGACTCTCCCAGAAAGAATTAGTTGCTTGTGCATGTGTCTTTCTTAACTCTTTATTCACTTAACTATGGCACTTACTGCACTTTAGGCATTTATGTACTGGTGGTCTCTACTTGGCAAGAACTTGAGGGTGGAACCATGTCTTGATTTATCTTTGTGACCCCCTCTCCAACCTTCAACTAAACACAGGGACTAACATAGACTGTATAAAATAAATGGCACTGAAAATGCCAGATTGGCCCTGACTGGTCTTACTCAGTGGTTAGAGTCGCAGGTTCAATTCCAGTCAAGGGCACGTGCCTCTGTTAAGATTTGTCCCCAGCCTTGGTCAGGTCATGCAGGAGGCAATCGGTTAGTGTGGCTCTATCACATTGATCTCTCTCTCTCTCTTCTTCTCTCCCATTCTATCTGATGATAAAAAAAGAAAATGCCAGATTGCCTCAGCTGGAACAATAGTCAAAACTTGCAAATGAAAAGTACGCTCACACTTGAAGTTCTGCTTGTCCTGTCAGGAGTAGCCTGAGTCAGCTGACGTGGGACCTGGGGTGACCAGGGTGGCTGGCTGGCTGGGGAGTTGATGAACACAGAATGGAAAAGTGATTAGGTGTTGGACCAGTGAGGGGGTGCAGAACATGTACAACATTATCCTTGTTGGGGACACCTCTGCCTGGGAGTTTCTATTGGAGATTGGGCAGCAAGATGGGTTTAGGGGGACAGAAAAGTTCTTATTGGACATTATGAGGGGAAAATGGCTCCTTGTGTGAAATAGTGTTTAACCTGATGCAAACAATCCTTTGACTACATGCAAATGATCCCTCCTCCCCCGTGCAGTGGGCTAGGTTCTCAGAATCTTAGTCATCTTGCCTGCTGGTACAGATAAATGTTCACCAGTGAGCTATGGATCAGCAGTAGTAAGAGAGTGCCTGACATTTTCTCTTTCATATGTTCAAAGCAAAGAGCTCTTATTTACTCACATTTAAGAAAATGGCACACCATTAAGTGGACACAATATATTACTTATTTTTAAACATTAAGTGGAATGGAGGTGGGATCCCAGCCGCCCTTCCTTTGTTGGAAAGTTGGACTGGAAAGATCCTCATGAGAATACTTTAACTCAAAAGCAAACCAAAAGATAGATTTAAAATAAAATAAAATAGATTTAATAAAACCCTAACAGTAAATTGTCCTTAAAGGCTGAGCTTAGCCCCTCATCAATGACCTAGTGCCTATCCTGTTTACACTAACAGATTTTGCTACTATCTCAAAATATACTTTTTCTTTTTGCCTGAAAATTGCCTACCTTTTTGTTTTCGGATTTTTAATAAAAGATTCAGCTGCCCTTAAGAATTGGAAGCAATATTGAAGCACAGTTATAAATGAATAACATTTTTATGCCAAAGAGCCTGCAGGACAAAGTTAAGTTAAACCCTCCCACCGGTCTACTTCAGACTTCTGAGTTCTTTTCCCTTCCTCCTCCTGATTGGAAGTGTCTTGCTTTTGCCTTCACTTTTAGTAACTTTAAGGCTGTAGAAAAATAACTATTCCCACAGTTCCAGTTTTCATAAAATTTGTGTAGATGATTTTTATTTTCCAAGAGATCTCATGTCTAATCCTCTCCCCATGGTCATCTAGGTGACAAGACATTGTTCTTGAGTCTTAGCTATCCTTGGTTGGAAGAGGAGTAGGGGAAATTTTCTAAATTTACAGTGACTTCCTCTGAAGAATTGCCTCAGAGCACATTAGGACACACCCAACCCCTGACAGGCCACAAGCGGAACCCCCTCGTGAGGTCAGGGAAGGCAGGTCACAGCCGGCAATGCCCGGGAGAGGTTCACATGCTCCTCGACCAGATGGAAAGTAAAAGTTAAGACATATCCTTGGCAAAAGTTAAAATGTAAAGACCATTAAAAAAAAAGTAAATAGATACTGTCGAGAATTGCCTGGGTATTTTCCTAAGCTACACACACACACCGCCGCCACCACCACCACCACCATGAACAATAAAACTTTATTTTATCAACCCTCACCATTTTTAGTGACTGTGGTAAGATAGGCTGATCTTGTATGGGACCTTAATATTCGTGGACATCGGGGGTTCCGAAGCTGCTGTAGGGTACCAGTCTGGACATACTGACTGCTCGTATCTTGGTGAGTATGTCTTCTGGCACCATTTCCAACACATACTAGTTGCTTAAGAGATGTCTGCTAAATGTAACAGGACGTAGGTGATGGAGATCCCAGCAGAGTTACTAGTCTCCAAGTCGACAGTGTTGACTGTTATGCCCCATTTCTGCTTAGGGACCAGGGAGTTGAGCCCTGTGAAGGGGCACAGAGGACACACAACAGAAGTGGGTGAGGCCGCACCTTCCAGGGACTTCAGGGGCCTCCAGGAGGGGCAAGTGCGGGAGGACAGGAGAGCCATCTGGGACACCCCAGCAGTAACTTCAAGAAACTTAGGGACCCACGTCATGCAGGCAGAGGCATAATCGAGTGAAATTTCTGTCATTACTGTTTATATAAACTTAGTAGGCTTGGGAGGCCTGGGGAATTGAAGTATTATTTACTATTTCAACATTACCATTGATTGCACTTGTACTAATGCCAGGTACTTTCCATGTATTTTTTTTTTTCCTTTAGAAGAGACAGTTTAGTGCAGGGAAGTAGTCTGATGGGGTGATTAAATAAATGCAAGGGTGATGAAACCAGACTGCCCAGTTTGATTCCCATCCCACTCCACCTCTCACTGTGTGACCTCGGGCGGAAGGGGTGGCCTCTCTGGACTTTGTTTGCTTATTTGTAAAATGGAGCTAATGAATGTAGCAACCTCACAGTTTCATTGGGAGGAACAAAGGAAGTGATACATATAAAATGCTAAAACCAGTGTCTCCCATGAAGTTAGCTCTCTGTAAGCATTATATTATTATTATTATTATTATTAAAACATTGTTCCAGCAATCCCATGAGCCAAGTGCTGTTGGTACCTCCATTCTCAAATGAGCACAGTGAGCCCTGGCTGCTGTGGTTCAGTTGGCTGAGCATTGTCCCATGCACCAAGAGGTCACTGGTTCAATTCCTGGGTTACTGGCTCCATCCCCAGTAGGGAGCTTGCAGGAGGCAGCTGTTCAATGTTTCTCTCTCTCCCTCCCTCCCTTTCCTTTCTCTCTAAAATCAATAAAAAACATACAATAAAAAATTAAATGAGCACAGTGAGTAAAAGCCTAAGGCCATGTAGTTAATAAGTGGCAGAGCTAGGAAGAACCCGAACCTGATTCCAAAGCCCACATGCTCTACCAACCAGCAAACAGCCTCCATAAGCCTTGTAAGAAAAATGTAAATTAATCCAGCTAAGGCTGGAATTTCAGCTCCCTTTGAAGGTGTTACAACACTGCTAACTCTGTGAGAAGAACAAACTGGACATATTTCTGGGAGATACAGTCTTTGAGCTTCCTTGCAAGGATAACTCCAAGGTCAAGGAATCATCAAGGTCATCACTCCTACCCTACCTCCACTTCCCAATCATGATTCTTCAAATGTTATGACTGGTTAACACACTACCCTTGTGGTTAATATTTGAAGTAAATAACCCAAGGCTGATGACTAGAAAACAAATAGCATATCCTGGTATGAAAGTGGTTAGAGAGAATGGTAGCTGCTCGCAGAGCCCATTCAGCCCCAGCAGCCAGGAGAAATTTGCACAGCCACAGGCACACATCTAGGAAGTTGCCTAACCAGGGTTTGAATTCAGTCCATGTCGCTTTTTTTCCCCCCTGTA